ATAAATAAAACATGTCGATTTAATATTATATTCCAACAAAGTTGTTTAGACTTCAAGGGCATCAAAAGTGATAAAACTATTACCAATCTTTTTGTATGGGTGTATGAATTTGTGATACGCGTGGCGTCTTTTGGTTATTATCACCAACATCCGCTACTTTTTTATTTACGATTTCCAGTAAATTGGAAAATGTTTGACTTCACCACTATTGTTATACTGCAAAACATAAAACTTTTCTTAGCATTGATACCACATTCTCGATATAACCATTAATAGTGTTGTGTTCCCAAATGTTGATGTATAAAGGAAGGGGGGCGGCGGAAGGGGGTTACAAATGGAACATTTCGTAGACATTAATTAAATTCTCAAAACGTGACTCAGAGAAAATTGTGATAAATTCTTTTGATTGGTTCCAGAGATTGTAAGAAGGCCAGTAATCGTCTAAGATTTCGAGTTTTCAGTAGTCTTTCTACAATACGCCGTAGCGATCGACTGAAACGCTCAGTTCTGAGATTATCAAAATAGTACCAATTGCGGATCTTGACAAAGCAGATGCAATGAATTGATAGTTAATGGCAAAATATTGCGCTTTTTTATTACCACCTATATCCGATATTTTTTTAAATTGACTTAAACTTAGTTGAAAAATATTATAAATCATTTTCTAATCGCTTTTAAACCTATAAAAGGGTTCTCTTTATTAGCGACCACTGATTTCATTTTGATTACTGTAGATGGTGGTAGCGGCGGCTTCAATGGTGATGGACAAATGCACCGAATTCTATCCGGTGGAGGGGGAAATCTTCTCGGCGGAGAGGGTGGTTGTACCTGGAGTATTGGAGGTGGCGGTAGATTGTTACCCTGGGGGGGGGAGGGGGATGGTGGGGCTAATGAAGAGTTTTCCGTTGGAGGAGGGGAAGGATCTTTTAACAATGGGAAAAAGCAAAATGAACGTTGCAATAATAGTGCTGTACATGGTTGGGTTGAGGGATCACGTAGTTTACTTCAAATTTCCAAGAAATATAATTAAACATTACCTCAGCCGTAAATTCATTTCGTTTGAAACTTTAAAATATGTTTGAAATAGCGTAAACCAAAAAATTATACCGTGTATTTTTAAAATGCATTTGAACCCAACCAAAATCAAATGTAATCGAAATAGCTACAACACCAAAGGGGCTGACTCCTCGTTTCTGCCGCACTGATTCATATCATACATAGCCGCCAATCAATCAGACATTTTTCCTTAGCAATTTTTGAGGATGATATCAGCAATATTTCAATTATTATCACTGTTATCAACATTAGGGGAAAGTTATCTCAACGGCTAGCCGGTTCATTAGTGCGAATGCTTAACAATCTACTTTTCTATTTACTAATGACACTTATTATGAAGACGACAGCAGCCCTTAAAAACGTCATTAAGTTCTCCTTTAAGATCTTATCTAGATCACTTGTTCATTTGTTCCCTCAAAATTACAACGCTTTTTTAGAAAATTATCAGCGAAATCAGTGATTGAAAAGAGAGTGGAAACATATATCAAAATAAGACATGGGAAATAGAGAATAATACTTGGGTGCACGCAGAATTTCTTTTCGAATGTTCCGATAGCTTACGAGTGAGATGCCGAGTTGAACACGAGAAGAGAAATTCTTTATCTACAAGCAACCATGTATCGTTTTGTATATTTTATAAACGCAATAGCCCTTCACTGACGAGAAAAGCCGACTTTATTAACGAATGAAAATAAAACCATCGACATTCCTCGAATTAAAATCGTAAAGCGCGTCGACGCTAAGGCTCAAGATGAAACAATGCATTGAATGGCCACAAAAACGACAATAGGCGTAATTTTCAATGTAAAAATTTCCCAGAAATCGACTTTTTCCTTACTGAAAGAAGAAATCTTCGAGGTACTCGGTTGAAATCGACCTGTGGCACATCTTACAATGTCGATTTCCGTGCTTATTATCAAATGCTGTCACCAGAGCCACTGAAATCGTAAATTTCAGTTTTTTTTTTCGTATTTTGGTTCGAGGAAAGTTTGAACGTCACTTTCCGTAAGCGATACGGTTTTTTCAGCACTTTAGCAGTCATAATCCAACAAAATCTCGACCAAAACTAAATCGTAAAGACTTTGCTGTTCATTCATCAACCTGCACGAGTGGCGCGAAAGGCGACTGACGTGACAGTAGCTGATTGGCGATATCAAACACGCGTGAAAAAATTTTTTTTCTTTTTTTCTTTTTTTTTTCTTTTTCACTTTTACTGTTACGGCTTTTTCTCAGACTGGAAATCCTTGTATAACACCTTAGTTTATATGATGAATCTCTTTATCGCTCTCTAACCTCTCTGAGCCAGTAAATAGCAATAAAATTCTAGAAATTTCCCTCTGTGTAATTCCAACAACAACACGAAGTCGTACATTGCATACCCAGAACTGCAAAGAGAAAGCTAAATGAATTTTTACTCTTGAAGTGGATATTTGATTCTCTTCGATTAAGTTGTAAGAGAATCAGATCACTAAGTCAATCTTTCCTGACCAAAAGTACGTTTTCCAAAGTACATATTTACTAAGAAATTTCGTTTACTAATTGGAAGGACATCCGTAAGAAATGTGTATATAAATAATCATTAAGGCTTCCCGTTTTTCGCCTTATTTCTCTCTTTCCCTAGATGGCTGGATGCACGACTTGGTTCCTTATTCTAAATTCAAACTTCCTCATTTCTTTATGTCTCCAACAGCACATCAGTAAATTAAAAAGCGAGTTTAACATTGTCTGCATCAATACTTCGTCGATGATACAGATGAAAGGAAAAAGACCAGGCAGAAAACAAGGGGAAGAAGGCAGACTACAAGAGCACCAATCACAAAAACAGTTTTCTTAAGCGTTTTTTTCTCTTGGGGGCGACGTGTTTTATGATACAAAATCACACAAAGAAAGGCAACGAAAACGATATCAGAAATAGTGTTTACGAATTCATGTATAATATTTGTATCTGTTTTATCAGGGAAGCTATACAACTTATTACAGAAGACAAATTTAAACTCGAATTACTTACTATTGAAAATTGGATGATTACTTACAGGAAAACAGAAATTTTTTAAAGTATTTTTTTTGTTACTTACGTATTACTTACAATGGAAAATTGGATAATTACTTACAGGAAAACAGAAATTTCTTAAAATATTTTTTTGTCAGTTAAAATGCAAATAATACATATACAAAAAATACTGCGCGGTATAACGGCATTAAAATCGAATTTTAAGTTTTCAATAATATTTCACCACATATTACACTTTTACAAAATATCACATTATCATTGTACTGAAGATGTTGATCGTTCAGTGTTGACTGTATAAACCGAAGTATGCCGGTACAATGAGTGAGAGATGGCTGCGTAGCTCAGATACCAGATGCACGACCCACTAATATAAAAATGTTCATTACCTTCCCTACTTTTCCCCAACGACCAGATCAACAAGAAGAAGCGGAATCCAACCCCCCCCTCACCCCTCTAACGCCCCACGCCCTTGGAGGGGTGCGGAACCCACCCAAGAACGTTCCTGAAAAAGTTCTCCGAACACTAACTGAATTAAATTTACATATAAGCTTACGAATAAGATAGATTAAAGACAAAAATTAGATATTTCGGTGGTTACACTATGAAATCGCCAATTACTGTATGGTGTGAGCCTTAAATTTGTCCAATGCTAAACATGTAACTCAATAACGGAACAAAAGCAGTCAGTTCTTCAGAATATATCTCACCGTCAACCTCGCTCTCTCCTTCCCCGGACAACAGCTACTTTACCTCCAAGTCGAAGTTGATGTTGGGTTGTTATGAAATAATTTTCAGTTTTCTCATTCAGTAATTTCATCAACCGGAACAGTTTCGCTTGAAAATACCAAGCTCTGATTAAGTGACCAAGCCGTTGAAATAGAGGACATCATAAAGATTGGGGCTAAAAAATACAAAGGGGAGTCTAACAGCTTCCGACAGCTTTCAGGACACTTGATATGATCTCAACGCGCTCTCAGTTGTTATCCGGTCAAACAATGGGAATGGCACCGAGAGGCGTGTTCAGAAGTAAGTTACCTTTTTTTTAGCATTCAAGGCAAATGAATAGTGTTGAGAGGTGCTCTCATGGACTCATCTTAAAAAAAAATTATTGCTAAATTCATCAACATTCATTTTGGATGTAACTTCAAAATAACCACTCCTTTGAATTATATATATTTTTGAGTTTAATACCTACTTGACTAAACTAATATAAAACATTTGAAAGGAATTAGGTAAAACTCAAATTCACACTATAAAACCCCTTGGTTGATGTTAGAGAATATATATGTTAGAGAGTATATATTAGTCTTTTAAAGAGTGCTTCAGAGGTAGATTTAAGTCAGAAGAGGAACAAAAAAAATGAACGAGTTATCTTAGAGATGTGTGCAAATCATTTCAGTTGATATTAATTTCAGCTCATTGTGCTTGCCTACAATGGGACATTTCCGTTCGCAATCAGTGCCATTCTCTTCTATATTCGCCCACTCTAACTCCTCTCGCTCCTTATATTTTGTGATTTCCGGAAGTGTTAGCAGCCGTTTTCATGTTACAATTAACAGTTAAGGTGATTAATGTGCGACAAAAACTAAAATAGAAATACTAACAATAAAAAATAGTGTCCCGTCAAATTGCCAAAAAAAAAGAAAGACAAAAAAAATGGGGGAGGCGATCTATGAGTTGAACTTTATTAGCTTTCAAATCACCATAATCAACAAAATTTATCACTGCATTATTCGAAAAAACTAGTTATCATTGCAATTCATGCGCGAGAAAATCTTAAGTGGAAACACATGAGTACCAGAGTAGAGCCAGTCAATCAAAGCCTCCGAAACCTCCAAAATCCAACATATTGATCCAAACGGTACAGTTAATCTTCAAAAGTCATCCAACTCAACAAATCAAGTTTATCAGCAATTTTTTCAAACTCTGAAAAATGGCAACCACCGAAGGCGACACAGCTAAAGTCCCTCTGGAGGTTAGTTACATCATCGCTATCATCATCAACACTATCACTTGTCCCTTCGTAGTTCTGCTCAACGTGCAAGTGATAATGGCCGTGAAAACAAGACGTCGACTCCGAACCAACAGCAACATCTTGTTGGCCTGTTTAGCGGTGACTGACGCATTAACTGGTCTCTTGGGCCAACCGTCATATATCCTGATGAGAATATTTCAATTATCAGGTCTCAATGGCAGCAAAACAGTTGGAAGGTTTCACTTCAATGTTGCAACTACATTTGCAGTGGCTTCATGCCTTCATCTGATTTTGGTTACTTTCGAGAGGCTTATTGCGATCAAATTTACGACGCACTACCCAAACATTGTCACTGGTAATAACATGACGATGGCAGTGATAGTTGTTTGGATCTTTGCTTTAATATGTAATTTTTGTCATGCGTTAAAGCTGTATCTAGTATTATATTACGTGGCAGGCCTTGTCGGTATTTCGTGTATCCTTTTCATTGTCTTCACATATGTGGTTTTATATCGTGAAACACGTCGCCACCAAAGGAAGATAAAAGTACAACAAGTACCTCAAGATGAAGTGGAAAGATTTACCAAAGAGAACAAGGCTCTTCAGACAACTGTGTTGGTTGTTGGTGGTGTTATCATCTGCCTTCTTCCAGTTTGTTTTTGTCTCATCGTTGTAGTTACAGGCCTTTATAGCTTTTGCCCTATCAATGGATCAATGTGGCAAACTTGTAATATGTTAAACTCGCTTGTTAATCCACTGATCTATTGCTGGAGACAAAAAGCAATTAGGAAGCTCGTGTTTACACACTGTAGAAGAAGGACCCAGGTCGTGCAGTCAGCCATCCAATGAAGAAGGGGACTTTGACAGAGGAACTGAAAAAGGAATCTGCTCAGTTTTTGTATGAGAACTACATTATTGATTAGGAGAGTCGACTCATTTACCACAGGCAAAATGTGATTCTCGAAAGCATTATTTGAACTAACGGAAAAGAAGACTTTGCAAGGAAGGGTATTTCCTCAAATTCAGGCTCAGCCTTTTTTCGCAGATATAGCTACCTTAAATGATTCCAGTTCTTCATTTCTCAAAGTGAGCAATGATTGAGTTTATTTCAGATAATTAAGCTTTAGGGTGTCTACATAGGAATTAGACCTTATTTTTGTTGATGAAGTAATTCGCTTGTTTTTTCCTGAAGCTTGAAGTAAGGTAATGCTTGGTATACGTGCAGATATGATTAAAAGAATTATTACTTTACTTGATTGGCTCTTGACGCCTCCTTCCATCACTGTGATTTTGCACCTCAGGCTATTCATATAAGATAGCATGGCTCGCACGAGCAGCGTCGTCTAGGGCTTTCACAGCTTACTTTCCACAGTGAAAGAATGGTATTCACATTTACCTGGAATGACACGTCGAGAAATTCTGGTTTTTGTTCCGGTTTATAGTTCTCCCACCATCCTTTTCATCCCGTTGTTTGGTGTGGGTGGTGTGTTTGAAGACCACTTTTAACGTTTCTGGACAATTTGTTAACTTTTTGGTGTTGCTTGTACAATTAAATTCACAATTCAAGTATTTTACAGCCCCTGCTCATTTTTTGCTGCAATCGTTTGTAATGATTCAATTGCAACCAAACTTTTGCTTGATGATGAAGAAAAACAAAAACTAAAACAACCTTTCTATGCATATATTAAACCATACAGGTAAGTCGGTGTAAGAGTAATTAAGCAAATGTGACTTGGTTTGAAAGCAAGATCTAACTCTTATTAGCCCGCAGTTTAAAATGAAAACCCTTGATTTCTTTTTCCCGTCATTGTGGTGATCTCGAAAAATCAAACAACAGTGCCGAACCCGCCAACGAGACTGCGGTTTTACCTTATGCCAAAGGTCTGTCCGAACAGCTTCGCCGTTTCCCACAACAACAAGGCGTACGCGCTGTTTTCAAGTCGGAGACTAGGCTAAGATCTCAGTTAGTACGGCCAAAAGACGCTGTCGACCCGGCTAAACAAGATGGCGTGGTTTAAAGGATTCCCTGTGAATGCAGAAAAGTGTACATCGGAGAGACTGAAAGACCTATGCAAGACAGAATTAAGGAGCACAATCGAGACATCCGACTCTCCCGTACCGAGACCTCCGCCGTTTCAGAGCATGCCCACAACACCGGACACAAGCCACTCTGGAACGAAGTAAAGTTTATTGATCGTGACCCATATTACTATACGCGCAGGGTCAAAGAGGCAATTCACATAAGACTTCACCCTAACAACATCAACAGGGATATTGGAATAAAAATTCCAGAAGCGTGGATGCCAACGATCAAAAACACAACAACAGGAGAGCTGTGCGACAGCGGACCGCCGAGGGAGGAAATCAATGAGTAAACAGCAAGGATCGAAATGCACCAATCAGAGCTGCTGAAAAAAAACTAATCACAGCAGAGCATCATGCTTTATGAGATCACACATGACCAGTCGACCTCATCGCCTGAAGAAGACTAGCAGTATGCAGTCGAAACGTCGCGATCTATATCACACGTGACTACATCGTGAGACAAACGAAAAACTTAGCTTTTATTGTTATTCACCACGATGAATAACCACAGCCTTTTCTGGCTTAACATTGATACCAAATTGTCGATTTGGCCCTTGATAGTGTTGTGTTCTCAGAGATGAGATTCAGTTATTGTTACTTTTTTCATATAGGAGCTAGATCCTGCAAGATCATGCAAGGTGTAAGTGCGGTTATATATCCCAAGATGATGGTACTTTCAAGTTTAAGCAAAACTTTATTTACTTGTTACAACTAGAATAACTTTAGGGAGAACGTTTGTGCCTGATAACAGCTAAGAATATCTTGAAAACATTCTTCGTTGGTGAATAAATTAACAGTTTCAAAAAATCGTTTCTGTGAGTTACAGAAAAGAGCCATCAGTGTCCCTAAATCGTAGATCGATAATGGAAGTTCAATGTAAATTTCGGTAAGCATCAATAAATTTATTTCTGGTTGTCAGTATTTGCCTTTCCTTGTTCATTAAATGGATTTATGTTACAAAGTCACACTTAAGAATTTCATTCCTAGTATAGATCTGTAAGCCAAGATGAGAAACAGATATGAATATTTCGGACCAAAAGATTCGATCCTACCTAGCGTGGATATTGAAAACTGACTGGAAAATTAAATAAGAAAGATGGTGAGTTCTGAGTTCGGCAAAGAAATCAGAGAAGGATGGTTTTCTTCTTTTCACGAGCGTGGGATTCTGAGTCCCCATGAGGAATCGAACCTCACGCCTAGTAGAATTGTCAAAATCCAAGCTTTCGCCGATCCCCGACATGATCAGGGATAAAATACTGAATGAATGAATAAATCTTTCAATCGAGATTTGTGGGAACTAGGCTTTGTTTGCAGTAGATTTAACGTTTATGAACCAAAATCTGTTTGCCTCTAGCTACTACGAATTTTCGAGTGAAGTATATGGATGGAAAAAGTGAAAAGTTATAACGTGTAGAGCCGTAAATAATACTGATCTGAGTGATCTGACTGAAGTAGTAAGCAGCGTTTGCATCAATTATTATTTTAGAATTATCATGATCTATTGTCATAACATGATCACGTTCAGGATTTTTTCAGATTAATTTTTGTGACCAAGTTCCACCCTATTACTCGTTAGCTGGACGCAGAGCCTGAATTCTCATTCTGAATATAAACTTCGTCATATATTTTTGTCTCCAGCAGTAAATCAATGGATTGACAAGCGAGTTTATCAACGACTTTCATCAAGAGTTTGTTGATGAAGCAAACGTCATATTTTTTTCAAGTTTACAACTGAGTTCCTTCGGTCGTATTTCACTCGATTCCGAAGCAACATCTTACACCTTGCTTTAGCTGTGAATTTATCAGATTCGAGATGTTGAATTTTTCATAAATTAATCAATTACATTATTCTCAAAACACACAACAATGCAAACAAAATAGAATTTTATTGTATTCCTCAAAGGTCATGGGGACCTCGAATATTTGCCATATACGATTACTCACCAACTGAATGCACGGCGTGGGTTCTTATTCTAAACACAAACTTTTTCATTTCTTTTTGTCTCCAACAGTATATTAGTGGATTAACAAACGAATTTATCATGGCAAACGTTTGCATCAAAGCTTCGTTGATTATGCAATTGTCATAAATTCCTGGGGTTAAAAGCATAAAACAGAAACAAACTGGAAGAAAGCAAATAAAAACAGCACCCACTACAAACACAGTTGTCTTCAGGGCCTTGTTCTCTCTAGTGAATGTCTCTATTTCCTCTAGACGGAGTTGTTGTGCTTTCATCTTCTTTTTATGGCGACTTGTTTCGTGATACAAGATCATATAAGAGAAGGTAACAGAAAAGATACATGAACTAATGACAATGCTGCTTAAAAAAAAAAATATCTGTAAATTTTTTATCATTCTGAAAAACCCAACTATGAGAGACATGATCCAAACTAACAACACTGCTAGATTTATAGTACTATCAGTTACAATTATCAAATAGTACATAGTAAATTTCATCGCTATGAGCCGCTCGAAAGTTACCATCATCAGATGAAAGCATGAAGCTACCAGCAATGTAGACATGACATCGAAATGGAGATTTTTAATTACTACGCTGCTACTGACACCAAGTAAAAGGAATATCTGCCACAGGATAAAGGTTGGCTGCCCAAGGAGACCAGTTGATGCGTCAATTATCGCTAAACGGGTCAGCAAGATGTTGCTGTTGGTTTGCAGCCGTGATCTTCTTTTCACGGCCATTATCACTAGCACGTTGAGCAGAACCGTGAACGGACAAGTGATGGCGTTGAGGATGAGAGTAATGACATCACTAACCTCCAGAGAAACATCTGCTGCATTGCTTTCTCCACTAGTTGTGTTTGAAGCGCTCGTGAAGCTAGCCAAGGAGAAGTTTGCCATGTCGACTTGAAATTATACTGCAAATCAGCTATGTCTTTTGGGTCTGGTCATTGGTTTATCTTTTCAATTTTAGCTTTAATCTACCGCTAAAAGTAATGTGCAAATGCTTGAAAACGGAAGGAGGAAAAGGCAGAGGAAATCTAATGCTTTTTATTGTAAGTAGTTTAAGCACTCCTAAGAATGACTTCCCAGTCTATTTACACAACGACAGTACAAGATAAAACTTGCATGGAAACACTTAACGCCTATGAATCATTTTTAATCCAAGAGCGATTGAAATCACTATAGATTTTTCATCCCATTTTTAGCGGTTGCGATAACTAGAAATAGCTTGTTCGTCTCTTCATACAGTATATCGTGCTCTAAATTTGATAAATTTTTTGCTTTGCAATTCTAGATGTAATGTTTTGTGCCTCTAAAGATCATTCTTCTTTCTTTCGTCAGCAAAGATTTGTATTCAAAGAAAAATTTTGCTATAATTCATTCGAAATTTATTTTCTTTGGCGTCACTGGATTAAAGAGGATTATTTGTGTCGAGGCTTTTTCATGGCCAGTTAAGTTTAAGTCTTAGAATCATTAGTGAGTTAAAAGCTCACTATTTTAGGTTCGTCAACCAAGTTTTATGTAAAATCTCAATTTATTTGACACCTGTCTCATCTTCGATACCATAGCCATTATTTGCGTGGGGGTAATGTTCAAACCTTCCAATTTTTCCGACCCAAGATTTCGAAATTTGAGCCAAAAAAAACACATGTTAAGCACGTCTGGGCTGTAAATTATGAATGAGGAAACGTTTGCTAACGAAAAAAAAAGCGATGTTTACCCGTTACGGAGCCCGGTAAATTTTTTTTTGGAGTTGATATGGTATCTCTTTCTGAATATCACCATACGAAGGTAGGCTTTAGTCTGTCTGTTCAAGACTACCAAAAAAAGTTTATGTCTCTTATTTATTGGCGTTCTTGTTGGTTTTATTCCTTTTGCGATAGTATCAAAGTGCATTGCTTGGCTTTTTATGGAGTTTATTGAGATTGATATGTAGCCTGAATTACATTAAACAATTAAGCCACACGATAACGCCTACAAATACAGGATTTGTTTCTTAGGACTACATGAAATGGGCAATTATGCGTGTGAGGCGAGAAATCACTTTTCAAAACATGCCGCACGGGAATGAAACTCCATTGAGGTGGTTTTGGCCTGTTCCAACCTCTCGCCAAGAGAGGCAAAAAACGGCAATAGCCAGATTACAGTAAATGAGACAAGAACAGGTTACGTATGGTGTACATACAAGTTACCTAAGAAGTTATCCAGAGGGAATTTAAAAACCTTTACCACAATTACAAGCCGTATAATAACTTTTACGTAAGTAAAAAATGCATGTAAGCCCCAGATTTACAACGACGTGGTGTTATCTACTATAAATTAAGTGTAAAAAATTGGGCATTATCATGTGGGGGAAACAGTTAGGACTTGTACTCTAGCTAGGAACCGGGTTCAAGAACACCAAACAAAAACATCATTGGCCATATACGAAATGTAATCGTGTTGCATCAGGGTACTTCATCGCTCCGCATAACGCGAAAGTCACAGTTACATAAGGTAAAGGAAGCTACGTATATCAAGATCAGACGTTCGTATAAATCCTTGCTCTCAAAACCTAGTTTACTTCATTTAAATGAAAAAATATTGGATGGACGAAGAAGGAGTCTGAATTCAAAGCTACAGCACCAAAAATGAGATAGGTATAATTAACATTTTTAACGAAAATCTCAGTTGATGAACCTAAAGAAGAGAGCTTAAGACTAACAAATAACTTCCTTGACAATGAAAAAACTGCGATGCAACTAGATAACCGTTCAAACCTATGGTGCCAAGGCAAAAACACGATAGAGATACGTTAAATAAATAGATAACTTACATCACAGCCACAAAATAACAAGAAGAGAGGAACGAAGTTTTATAAGTGATCGCGACCACAAAAAATGGGCTTTGGGGGGCAAAAAAACATGTGCTAATATGTGAAAAATCTTGAGCAATTTTCAGTCACTTTTGATTGAGATTGAAGAATGGGCTGAGCTCCAAGAAAATCAATTTGGTTAGGCGGCGAAAAATGTTTTCGAAAAAGCTTTCTTTTGTGTTGTTGTTGTATAATGTAGACTGAGAAGCCATTCTTAGGAGATGATTTATATATTTGCCATGGGAGGAATAAGCTTTTCTTTGGCTTCTTCGCCCTTCTCTTTCTGTGAGGGGATAAAAATTTGGTGGAAACAGTTGCCAAGTAATTTTAAGGATAGATCAGAGAAAAAACGCCGACCAAGATCAGGATGTAATTCGAAATAGCTGGTTGACTATAGTTTAAGAAATTCTTGGAGACTGTTAAATTAACAAGTCTAATTTTATATCAAGTATTTTCCTTCCATAATTTCTGGATTCGCTGATGGTTTCCTTAGAAACATACAATATTTTGAATAACAGAAAATACGAAAGGGCGAGCTTCTTGAATTGTTGAAATGCTGCTGTTAGCTGACGCCTTTTCTACCCGCTCAATAAACGAGATGTTTTAGAAACTGAGTTCTGGGTAAAACAAATTTTGGGTCAAAGAAGATAGATTTACCGCACACCAAAACTGATCCTCACAAAACTTCATTGGAGCAAAGCAAATATCCTCACTTGGTATTAGGTACTTGTATTAAGCTTACTTTTCTGCAATGCCGAACAATTTTATGTTCTATTTTCTTTATTTTAACCACATTAAAGGAAAAGCTCAGTTACTACTTTAAGCTTTGTAAAATATCAGTGGTTAATTCAGTGGTTAATTCAGTTACGGGTAAACTATTTTCATGTTCTGCCAAATATCTTTGAAGCGGTTTGTGATTCGCGAAGAATAATTTTTGACAGAGACTGATTGTATATATCTTCTCTTTTCTTAAAAGCATGGTCAATATATTGAGGAACCAAAATGATCAAAAATCAGAATCAGGATCTTGGAGGCGCGCGTCATAAATTGCTGAAAGGGTTTCTGTCAGTTTCATAGTAAGTGTCATTAGTGTTAAGGAAAGAAGATTGCAAAGCATTACACTACTAAAGTAGCCTCTCCAGATAATTTTCATTGACAATTGGCAGCAATGAAAATAGTGAAATATTGCTGATAGCATTGCCAAAAATGTTTTAACAAAGATTTCTGGTTGTTTCCCAGGTATTTATGAATGTAGTGAAATGCAAATATTACATCTCATGGGAACCCTTATCACTATTTTGAGCATCGTTTTCGTAACTAACCTTCGCTACCGGAAGAAGATAAAGGCACAGCAACTGCCCCAAGGAGAAGTGGAAAGAGTTATCAAAGAGAACCAAAGAGAAATTTTCCCTATCACTGAAACATTGTGGCAAACATTTGTCACGTTAAAGTCTCTTGTTAATCCATCGCATCGGCAGAAATATTGGACAAGATGGCGGCCGCGCTTGCGCATTTCGTCCATAATGGCGTCCAAATAATATAAGAAACTGTATGGAAATTTGTAAAATTTCTAAAATATAACAATCAGGAGCTCATAGTCCCGTCTGCTCTCGATCGAGACATATTCAGTACTGATTCTGCTATTCATCAAACCTCACAGGGAGTCGATAAATAAAAACCACTTACTTCCCGAGCCAGTTCTTTTGTCATTGATCATTTGACCTAGGTCGCCATACAGTTCTTCAAAATCCGTCGTTCTCCATCCCAAACACTCGCCTATTACAGGAAAGTGCATCAATAAACTCAACTGCTCTCGATCTAATTGACTGCTACATAGTTCGAAGCGTCCAAATATCCTGTAAAATTGCCATTTCCTCCCATCAAAAAAGTTCCCAACGCGCCAGAATATCCCTTATTTTCCACGCTGAGTAAGTGACGAGACGCCATGAAAACTATGACTGAAATAGTTAAACACGAGCAACGCTGATCTTCGAATCGTCGGCCATATTTGTTTATGTTCTTGCAGGGAAATAAATTAGTTCTCGGTCCTTTTCGGAATAAAAATATGCCAGGCATTGAATGCAAATTTGGTAGTCTTAGCGCGAAAATTAAATTAAAGCAAATCAAAATTCTGACATCATGTCATCACTCTGCTTCGAAAAATCCCAAAGATTTACTTGCAGGTCTTCTTTTCTTTTTCTTCTCATCAAATAGAAGATCTGCGGTGCTCAAATTGTATAAGTCATGGTACGAAACACTCTTCTTTGCAGATCGAGCCGCGATCGCCGCCATATTGAATATTGAATTCTCCTTGATATTCTATTGTTCCGGAGTGTAATACGATATACCGCTGATAATTGTTAGCGGGCTCGAAATGTCCTTGATTTCTGGCGATGATTTAATACAGCAGACAAAAAGAAATAAAGAAGTTCATATTTAAAATAAGAGCCAAGGTCGTGCATCCAGCCATCCAGTGAAAGAGAAAGATACAGCGGAGAAAAAAGAAAAAATCTTCCTAATAATTTATGTACATTTTATTAGCGCATTTTCCATCCACTCGATAAACAGTTTTTTCATTAACTGTGTTCTGGGGAAGACATATTTTGGGTCAAGAAGGTTAAAATCTACTGTACGCAAAATCTGATTCTCACAAAACTTAGTTGTAGAGATGCAAACATTCTTGCCAGGAGTGCAATTTATTGAGCTTACTTTTTGTAGTTTTGGGTATGCATTGCGAACCAATTTTTAATCTGTTTTGTTTGTTTGTTTTTGATAATTTTAATCATATTAGAGGAAATCGGTTGTTCCTGCCAAATGTTTGTTAAAAAAAAAAAAAAAACAGAGAGAAAAAGTGACTGTCCCTATTTTACGGGTAAATAATTTTTTGTTACATACTATTTGTGCAGCTGATGGTTTTTCTCCTAGAATATAGCGATATATCTATTTCTGGCTGACACTGATACACCGATACAAAATGTTTCATTTTACGTTGTGGTATGTTTCTTTTTATTTCAACGTCTGGTTTCGCTGTTAATTTCCTTAAAAACATTGAATACTTTGAGGAAGCCAGAAGACGAAAAATAAGCATCAAGATCTCATAAGCGAGGTTTATAACTTGTTTGTAAGGGTAACTCCAGTTAGTTAGTTGCTTCAATTTTTTTGAAGCAAAAACACGCCAACTTTTTCCTCTCGGCGAGCAGTTTGGGTAACTGTATCAGAGAATTTCTGAAGTTCTTTCTCTTTAACCTCACAGCAAATAAAAACGGCTTAAAACGGAGCAACCAGTTCGTTAAACTGAATTTTAGATATAAAATTTGATAATGTTGATAAAATAAAATCTTTGTCGTTGTTTTTGGCGTTCAAAGTTTCCTTTTCATTTCTTCCAACCAAAGGCATACAGGCAATTATGCAATAGATCTTTGACCAATCAGAGTGACAGTTCATATTACAGGTCTTACCGCTTGTTCCAGTGTCGTTTTCACTACCTTCGCTTATGCCATTGTATATCAAGAAACCCGTTGCCACCAAAGGAAGATAAAAACATAGCAACTTCCCAAAGAAGAAGCAGAAAGATTTGCCAAAGAAAGCAAGGCGCCGTTTAGACAACTGTGTTAGTGGTTGGAGCTGTTGTTGCCTGCTATCTTCCAATTCCTCTCTGTCCCTTCACCTTAGGATATAATAACAACTGCCCTGTCGACGGTCACGTTTGGCAAACATGTGTAATGTTAATCTCGCTTTTTAATCCGCTAATTTATTGTTGAGACAAAGGGAAAGTTTATATTTAGGATGAGAACTCAGGTCGTGCATCCAGCTATCCAGTTAAGGAGGGTCTGCAAAACTTGGAAACTTACATTATGTAAATTTAGCGTTTACTTGATGAATACAAGTAAACGCTAAACACTTTTAATTGGTTGCTTTACATGTCAAATATATATTTGAGCCAAAGATAGTATGATACGTAAGTTTTGAATAAAATATAGTCATTACAGTCAAGAATAAGTGAGGAGGGCAACTTACTCAAGAGCGAGTGTAACACAGACTCTAGACTCAGTTCATGCTGATTTAGATGTTTTAAGCCTTCCGTCTTTCATGTTCCTACGAGTCTTTCGGCCGGCTTAATAACAATCATAATAATAATAAAAAAAAAATGAGACCGGTGCCGATTATAATAATAATAAAAAAGAGATGGCAGTTTTAGCAAGTCACTAAATTTTGTGGTTAACGGTCGGAAATAAGCATGAAGTTGAAATATTTGGTACCCTTCTGATAATATTGCATGTTTTCTCTCTGATCGCCATAAACGCTAGTTCGCTTTTTGGTAAACGTCCATAAACTGTCCTCTTTTGCTCTAAATCCATCAACCATTATGAGACGACAGCAACTTCAAGGCACATTACGTGATCTAGCCACGACTTTGACACGAATTGGCTCGACGGGCCCTAAAATGGTGGAAGCGTGCAACCGAATAGAGACAGTGGAATCGACTCCCCTTTCAAATTTCATCTTTCGTAAAATTTGAACCATGGCTGTCTTTATTTCGAGTTCAGCCAATCTTATTCCAAGGCATTGCTTGGGACCCAGGCCAAATGGTAAATAGGAGAAGGTCGGGCGCTTTTCAGCCACTTCTGGAAGAAAACGGTCTGGGTCGAATTTCTCTGGCTACAAAAGAAACGGACATTATTCATTAGCGTTATATTTTACCTGCTAAATTGATAATTTCTGAGCAGAATTGGCAGCGGCGAGAATTTGGATTTTGGTCTAAGGATACTAAGCCTATCCCTCCTTGGGATATTAATTGCGGTCTTTTGTCGTCTGTGGCAACTTTGCGTTTGTTTCAGGACAATTTGCTGCTACTCACTTCTATCTCTGGGTAGCAAGGAAATAGGAGAGAAAGGAGTCTCATTCTAATTTAATGAATTCTTCAACTGAGAGAGACTATAATGAATTTTTATATTCTATTTTTACCTCGGGCCAGAAATGAGGATCGCGGTGGACACAGTATGACAAAATATACACGCTGACACCAGCAGGGAATTCCACTCCGTTTATTACACAGCTCTCCATGCACTCACGAACATTTACGAAACCAACTGTAAACAATCGTAGAACCTCAGAAAGGACTCGATCGAGATACTCGAGGCCTTGCACGAACTCGTAAGTTGACAAATTACCACGTGTACGTGTAGCTTCGTCAATTTCTTGCAGCAGCTTGTCTTGAACCTCTGGATAAGAAGCGAGATGGTACGCAATCATGGCCAATGTAGACCCTGTTGTTTCTGCGCCCGCCACTAAGAACGTTATGCACTGGGCTACGATCTCCTCTTCCGTCAAAGTTTTGACTTCATTGTTGTTGACCACTTCTTGCGCCTCTAACATGAGCTGGACAAGATCCTTGCGTCCAGATGAACCATTTCGTCGGATCTTCATTATACCCCTTGCTAGTGTCTCGAAGTAGTCCACATGCTGGATAGGATTAAGGTCGATGAATTTTCTTAAATGGCGGTAGAAAGGAAACATGGACAGTGCTCGTACATACACTGGTACGATGAACACAGTTGTTGCTTTCTTCAAAAGCTCTGAGTCGGGGTTGGTTTGCACGTCCGACTTAAGCCCAAATCCAGCAGATAGAATTACGTCCAAGGTGAATTGAGAAAAAGGAGTAGACACATCCACACTTCTATCTGCAGAAGATTGTGGCATCTAAATTAAAATCGTGTAAGATCTACTTTCGAAAGTTAGAAACGATCTCTCGTAAAGGTTTTAAAAGCTTTGGATAAGAGTATTATTACCTCTTCTGATTGAGATTCAACTCCGTCGCAAGTTTACGAGTATGCCGGTACCAATACAGCGGTTGAATGTAGGGTATGCGCATTGGCGTTGTCACGCCAAATAAGCGAAATAAAGCATTAACGACTTCTTCTAAATCCGTAAAAGGGAACAGAAGGAAGGATAAGGAAAAATCGAGACTCTTATGACAGAAATGTTATTTAATTACGGGTTTCCGACTGATTTACCATTTTTTTAGCTTTACCAAAATAGTTATAAGGTTTCAAACACCGCGGTTTCCTTACTTGTGTGGTTGTTTGTAAGAAAACTTGGTTTTGACAATATAAAAGTATGGCACCTAGCCTCTACAAGATCGCACATGCACAGACGTTTGACCACTCTATTACCGGTGATATCGGCGTTATGCACTGACCTTCGTTTGCTAAATTTTCGAACTTTGACGCCACAATTCCAGCTGCTTCTTCGATTATAGGTACGATTTCTTTCATCTTAAGCGAGCTGAACGTCGGTGTAAGGATGGAGCGGACTCGTTTCCAATCATTATCTCTTGCACCAAACAAACCTTTGCTGAGCGGTGGTCTTCCGGCTAGAAAATCTGGTCTGTTCCTGAACTTATGAAAATCCTTAACCAAAAGATTCTTCAGAATTTCAGGATCGGCAACGGCTATAATGGGATCTCTGCCCATGTACATCTTGAAAACCTTGCCATATTTCTCGGTATATGCTAAGAAAGCGTTGTGCAGACCATCATATTTTGAAGCATCGAGTAGGTTTCCGACGTAAGGCCAAGGCTTCGGTCCCGGAAGGCAGACATGACTTGTTAGAGTGTATCCAGAGACGCCAAACCAATAAACAGTTGCTGCTAAGAGGAATAAAAGACCTATCCAGTCATAAAAACCGAGGTCTGATAATCCTAAAGCTGAATCGACCATTTTCTCCCGTTTGGCTAAAAAGCGTAATGGCCAACCTGTTTCAAATTGATTTCTAGACACAAATCTGTTTTGTTACCGTTTGAGGCTTCATCTTAATGCAAATTAGGAACAAAAAATGTGTGGGGGTTGGGTAAACACGCCAATCTTTTGTTAATTTGAAGGAATATGAATCAAACTTGACAAGGAGATATATTAAAATCTAATGTGTTTGTCCAATGATGAATGTAGAGTGTAGATTTTAGCGACATTTAGTGACACGAGTCTTGGTTTTCGTTCAGTTGATCATGACAACTCCATAGCAGATTAAACGTGAACCTCAAAAATTGAGGTTGTTAAGTATTCATATATTCAGGCTATTGTTCTTTCTCATTACTTATTCATTCCGATGAGTTTGCCGACATGCCGGCATGCTTCCGAAGATCGTGAAGAGCGCAACTTCTCTGATGTAGGTGAGATATTTTTCTTTAGTTAACAGATGAAATAAACTCTCCCGGGAATCTGCTTGATTGATGTCTAATAATTGCTACGCATTCCGGTGTGTTGGGCAACATGTCAAAGACATCAACCTCGCATCAAACTTACAGCTTACATGTCTTTTCAAGTAGAAGTAAACATTGCATGCACCGCGCGCCCCCAAACGGAGCTCGCGTATTTTAACATAGTACGGTATTTGCGATGTGAAGTTAAGAGAACAAGAAGTGATTTTGAAAAGCATTTCACTATAAAAAATTGCGATAAAACATTTCTTAAAATCATTTCAAGATTAAAAAATTGCTAAAAAGCGACGACGTTTCGACGTTAGCTGAACGTCATTATCAAGTCAAAATAAGTAAGTGATTTTTGGTCTATAAATACTAAAAAAAAAAAAAACAACAACAATAGCTGATTAAAAAAAATTGTAACGTGAGAAAATATCAAACAAAGAGTTTCGCACGTATGGAGTCCGTCTGAATATTTAAAATTGGGCTTAAGTTTCTCAATGAAGAGCATTTCAAATACTAAGCAATCAAATTTGCTCTGGCACCTTCTTAAAACCGTGAATTGGCTTTCTCTCAAAAGGTTGTTGTTACCATGAACTTCTAAGAAATGTCTGCCGATTGCCGAATTTTTGTGCTCAGCAATGCGTTGATGAAGGTGTCGGGCTGTATACCCGACATAATCTGCATCGCACAGATCACATGAAAAATTATAAACAACACACTGCTTATTAACAATTGACGGCTTGATTTCTTTGGGTCTGAGGTCTTGCCCCAATTTCTTGCTCACGAAAACTGGTTGAAAAGTAGGGCCAATCTTATGGCTAAGATCGCGTAACCGCTTACGAACCGCATTAGCGGCCACTTGATCTTTAAAAGGAAGACTAATTCTTACTGTGCTACTATCATCATTGTTAAGTTGGCACTATCCTTTAACTGGGAAGTCACAGCTGCCTGGTCTGCTCCTGCGTGGTAAATTTGATGGTCGTCGGCATACATAGACAAGTTCGCTGTTAGGCAGTAGGATAGGTCATTCTGGAAAACATTCCATAACAACGGGCCAAGCGCGGAACCCTGAGGACAGCCACGACTCACGAATCGGCTCGAACTAACATGACGGCCGATCTTTACTTGATATTTCCGTTCATTTAAATAGCTGTTTAAAAGTTGAATAGCGCTTTCCTGAAAACCGTACGCTTCAAGGTTGATGTCTTTGACATGTTGCCCAACACACCGGAATGCGTAGCAATTATTAGACATCAATCAAGCAGATTCCCGGGAGAGTTTATTTCATCTGTTAACTAAAGAAAAATATCTCACCTACATCAGAGAAGTTGCGCTCTTCACGATCTTCGGAAGCATGCCGGCATGTCGGCAAACTCATCGGAATGAATAAGTAGTGAGAAAGAACAATAGCCTGAATATATGAATACTTAACAACCTCAATTTTTGAGGTTCACGTTTAATCCGCTATGGAGTTGTCATGATCAACTGAACGAAAACCAAGACTCGTGTCACTAAATGTCACTAAAATCTACACTCTACATTCATCATTGGACAAACACATTAGATTTCAATATATCTCCTTGTCAAGTTTGATTCATATTCCTTCCAATTAACAAAAGATTGGCGTGTTTACCCAACCCACACACATTTTTTGTTCCTAAAGGCTAAAAATACACCGTGAATAGAAACTAAATCCATTCAAATGATTGCAGTTTATCGATCTCGAGTTCATTCATCTCAAGACAATGTAAACAAAAGGATACAAGATCACAAGTCTGTTCGCGCAAGGTAGCTTAATTACACTATTGTCCAAGTCTTTTGAAGTACCTTCCGCAGTTCCTTTGGTCTTCTTCCAAAATATCTCACCTTTTTCGAAACGAATAAAACCGAAATCATTCGACACGTTTTCGGCAGCCACCGAAAGCAATGCCCAAAGGAATAAACCGAGCCTTCGAGGTAAAAAATCCAGCGGTGTCACCCATTTCAGTAAGTCACAAATAATCCGGGCTGGAGTCGTAATGATGAAAAGGATGCTTTCTTGCTTTTAAAAAATTGAGAATAATTTATGATCGAGGAAGGCCTATGTAAAACCTAAACCCGGCTGATGAATGATAATTTAGAATTTGCTGAAAGTTTGACGTTTTCCATCACGGGCTAATTAATTCACAACACGAAGGCCTTTTTGTCACTTGAGTTAAATATTTATTTTGTGAACTTTAATCATGGAGCAAGATTACTAAGGTATAAGAAAATTGATAAATCCTTGTCCTCTTGGCTGTTTAGAGTTATAAATATGTGAAAGAGTACGAATGAAAAATAAAGACGAGAAAACAATTAGCAGCAGATTTGCTCTACTAAGAAGAAAGATAAAACCTTCTTTCGAGACGTCCGAATTTCTTATCAGCTCTTGTCGAAACTTTTGTCCGTGTCGTTTAGTTGAAGCCAAACTTGGAACTCTTACAAAACTTGAACAATCAGGAGCTTCTTATTCAGAGCTTTGTCGCACCGTACAAGGACAAATATCAGCCATGGCTTGTAGTGGTCACCAGAAAAATTCCTTTCTCACTAATCATTTTCATGAGCTCAAGATAATCATTGCTCGGTGGCAATAAAATCTTTTAATTACTCAATGCTAAAACTCGTGAAAGCCACTCAAGACATGGGCACGAATGGGAGGGGATGGGGAAGAGGGGGGTGGGGGGGGGGGGGAAAGAAAAGTCAGGTTGCTTTTAAAAAGCATTTAAGGAGGATCTAGAAATTTGTGATCACAAGCCAAGTTGTATATCTTACCGTGGCTCATTCTAATTTCTGTATCATTAGAACTAGGAATATTATACCTCTTATTTTCACCATGTAGAAAGTCACTCCAATACAGGTGACGAAACTTCTTCCCTCCCTCCCTCCCTCAAAGCTTCGTAAGGTTTCCAATTCTAAGGGGTGCAATGCATTGTTGAGATAAAGTGTCTTGTCTGAGAACACGACATAGTGTCACAAACAACGAGTGACTGCCGCAAAGGCAAAGTTAAATTCATGAAAGAATCGTATTTGCAAGCTATTTCGCCCGAAAAAAATAGTGTCATATTCATAACACACGTGCCCATCCATTCACCTCATTTCCTGTTTTTCCTTAAAAGATAAGTAAAGAATTTTTGCGCAACTTGAGACTTCACCATTTTCACTCACAGGTATCCCAAGCTCCTTGGGAGCCGTTAAAATTACATGACATTGCGCATAAACATTAAATATCAGAGTCGTAAGGGAACCCAACCATCGTAATATGAAAAGTAAAAATTCAAAAGTAACGAGTTACTTTGTCTCTTCTGTGCAACACTTGTGTTTCTGTGCCATCTTGAGTCCGTTTTAAAGCGATTTCAGTGCGTTTTTTTAAAAGCAGTTAGCAGGTTAAATTAAAGAAATGCAGGTACCTGTTGAATACTTAATTTTCTATTTGGTTATGTCACCTAACGGTCTGTGCATAATATCCTGGAACTATTTCATAACACCTTTTAGCTGCTTTTACCCGAGAAATTAAGAATTCGCAATTAAACCATATATTTTAAATTAAAGCTTCATTATTAAAAGAAATCACACTTATTATATTTTAAATTAAAATGTGAAAAAAAGACTAAAGGATGGGAGGAAACCCATGAGAAGTCACAGGGCTTCTACTTGGTGGGCTTCCTGTAGCAAATATTATAATTACAATTTAAATGTGCAACAATGACAAATCAATAACAGAGTAGAAATTGAGTAGAATTAACTCGTTATTCAACTTTCTAGATGTATAAAGCATAATTAGTCTAAAAAATTGTAATTTTAATGCTCTGATTGACGTCGATGACTTCTGAGTGTTCATTTCTGATTTTTTTTTTTCGCTATAAAAAACTTTACAAATTATGCTCAGTGGGTGGGCTAGATAGAAACAGTGCTTTAAAATTTCATAGGGCGACTGTCTTAATTTGAAACTATAATTTGCCAAAGTTGTTGTTATCATTATTAGTATATCAGACATAACTAGGTACCGTGCAATGCTTATTTAGCATAAACAACACAGTTTTTCTGAATGACTAATTCTGATTTTTTTATGAACTGCGATTGCCAGTTTTGATTTCAATTCAACTCTCTAGTTTTTTATTCCACAGGTGTAGCTATCGTAGGCAGCCCGAACTTTGTTTAAACCCAGCCTAACTTGAGGCTATACCCGAGTTCTATAGCACAACCCATAAAGCAAATTCGTGTTTAGAACAAACGTCATTGCTGTGTTTGGAAATTTGTCATAAATATTTTTGTCTAAAATTCCATCTACCTGCAATGTTTACACGCTTTTTGCTAGTAGGGGTCGACCGCAAATGGCGGTGGAAACAAAACTAACCAATGGCAAGCCACATTTACCGGCAACTTTGCTTACAGCAAGGGTGTGTCGATAAACTAACAAATCTCAGCAGCTGCTAACTTCGCGCCATCTGAAAACAAAGCAAATCACATTTTTTTTCAGTGATTTCATTCGTTTGCGGCGGTTAACAGAAAGCCAAAGAGCTGGAAAACGCTGAAGTTTAACTGGACCTACACGTTGAAGTTGCAAGGTGTCTGTTTGGGACAAACTGTTTTCTTTTTGTGACCGCAGTCGTATTTTCCAAACGTTTCCACTAATATTGTTCTAAGTTTTGCAACCGGGTTATGTAGCGCCAAACTAACCAAGTTGAGGTAAGACACTAAAGATTCCTTCTGAGGCAATAAGCAAGCAAAAGTGTGGTCGACAACAACAGTACCACCGAAAAGTTTGATTTCGATAAACAATACCAAGGTTACAAGTATCTCGAAGTTTACACATTGTGTCCTACTTTTACAATGCGGCTATCCTTTATCACGCATTTTGGCGCGTTGGTAATTTTGTTACATTTAGTAATTGGCACTGGTGCGGAATGGAAGAATCTTATCGAGGTGAAAGTGCCAGAAGGAAAACCGGAAGATTACGTAGTTTACAGACTACCGTTTCCCACTAAAGGAGAGGAGTACATGCTATTTTACGCACAGAAAGGGGACGCGCTTGACAAGGTCGGTTTATTCAAGGTCTCTAAAATTGGTGTCATCACAACTGTTCAACCTTTGATTTACGAGAAGGGAAAACCAAACGAGTACGATTTGACCGTAGTTCGAAGGTCTTCCAAAGAGACAGATGGAGGCCTGGCGACAACAGTTCGAGTGATGGTACAAGACGTGAATAACTTCCCGCCAGTTTTCGCATACAGTCTCTACAATGGTTACATCAAAGAAAATTCTCCAGAGGGAACTGTGGTAATGGGCTTGGAAAATTGCTATGCTGATGACCGGGATACCTCAGGTGTAAGAGATTACAAAATAATAAAAGGAAACGAGAAAGGTTATCTTAGAGCCGTGAAATATGACGTTGGTGAGCACAGTTTTTTACAGCTAAAGGCAACCAATCGACCGATCAAGCGGGACGCGAAAAAACCTTTTTTGACGTTGACTGTTGAAGCAGAAGATATGGGCAATCCGCCAAAAACGTCACAAACCACAATCGAAGTGTTAATTGAAGAGGTGAACGATTATGTTCCTGTATTTGATAAAAGCAGCTACAAACGAGAAATAAGCGAAGATACTCCTATTATGATGCAAATTCTCAGTGTTCGAGCAACAGACAAAGACCAAGGAATTAGCGGTCAGGTTTATTATTTCTTCCAAACATTGTCGAGTTATTTTACGGTAAACGCCTTTACAGGTGCCATTACGCTGGTGCGTGAGTTGGATTATACACAGGCAGACCAGCGAGTGCACCGGTTGACTGTCATCGCACGGGATGCAGGAACACCCAGTAAACAGTCCACGGCTACTGTTACCATCACTGTTCCCGTGGATATTTCCAACTTCCCTCGCCCGGCTTCCACGACTTCCAACCAAGAAAATGCGGCACCATTTTTTCCTAGAGCACCGTACCACTTTACACTTCACACATCGTTTCCCATCAGGGGTAGTCTTGGTGTTATTTTGGCAGTGGATGAAGATCCACCGGGATCCAACAGTGCTCTTCGTTATGCGCTGCAAAATCCGTCCGGCGATTTCACTCTAGATTCCAACAGCGGTGTTCTGACAGTTAACAAGGAACTCGACGCGAAGACATACATCTTGTCGGTAAAGGCTGAAGACCAGGGTAACCCACCGAAAGGCGCTGAGGCACAAGTTAAAATTGAAGTCGAATCCATAGATAATCCATTCAACCATCCGACCTTCAGCAATCCTATACAAGTAATAACGGTCCAAGAAAATACTAAAATTGGCACATCTGTGTTCACAGCATCGGTAGTCTCCGACGCGAGCACGGACAAAGGAGTAGTATATTCGGCAATCTTCGGTTCTGCGCTGCCATACTTTGAACTGAACGAAGATACGGGTGTATTGAAGACGGCCGCAGCACTCGATCGAGAAAAGCACGGCATGTATGAATTAATGATAGAAGCAAGGAACAAGGAGGAAATTCCACGCCATTGCCATCTGTTTCTGATAATAAAAATCGCAGATGAGGACGACTCATACCCTGATTTCTCCAGGCCAGTTTATAGCGCTAGTGTACCAGAGAATAGCCAAATCGGTACTTTTGTCACAGTCATCCACGCCATTGATCAAGACAATCCTTCAGTATCTTACGACCTGTCCATATCGTCCTCTGAATTTCAAATAGAGGCAGGAACTGGAGTAATCAGGACGAAAAGAAAGCTCGACCGAGCAATTGGAGACAGGAAATTTCTCCTTCATGTGACAGCAAGTGACGAAGGGGGAAAGACTGCGCACGCGAATGTGGACATCAATGTGACCAGCGCACACGATTCTAGTCCAAAGTTTGCTCTGGAAAAGTACCAGGCCTCACTGCGAGAAAAGCAGGGAATGGTTCCTAATTTGTTGTGCATAGCTGCGACTGGAAGTAACGGCCCAGTGACATATTCGATCAAATCGGGAGCCAATGAAAGATTCACCATCAACGAGAATACAGGTAAAAATTTACTATGCCTTGATTAGGTTAACCTAGTTGAGAAACAACCTCTTAAAGATCAACAAATTTCAAAGTCACTAAATCTGCTACAATTTATATCATGTTTCGCGAAAACTCCTCATCTTTCTATTGCCTCCATAGAGCTTAAATTTTTATTTTTATTTTTATAACAATCATTTAACTGTTAACAGACCTACCAGCCTTGAATTAGCATAATGTGCATGTGGATTGAATGCCTTAAAACCAAAATTATGCTAATCGCTAAGGTTACTTACTTAATTAAGTAAACAAGGATTGCTGGCATCAAGCACAAGAATATGCGAGTGACGAAAATGATAAGCGATTGGTTTGAATTTGGCATCTGATTGATTGAGAAGTTAGCCCGACTGACTTAACTTACCACAAGCGGTTTAGAAGCAAGAAAAATTGAAATAACTTACCACTCAGGCTCCCGCTTAACTTAATTAATGAAACTAAAATGAGTCGCAGTGCCCAAATATGATTTTCATATATTTACAGTCATTATTCACTACTTGGAAGTTTTATTAGAATCCAACATAATGGCAAGCTCCTAGTTGACTTGTCAGCTCAGTTGGTAGAGCGCTGCACCGGTATCGCAGTGGTCACGGGTTCAAATCCCGTACGGGCCTAAATCTTTTTCAGGCCTTATTTCAACTACTAGTTCAGTAGTGTTCATAACTGCGAGGATCGCTTATATTCGATGAATCTCAGCTGTTACTCATTATGCCCCACCCAATGAAAACTACAGAATTCTGCAATTAATTGTTGGCTTTTTTATTTTGATTAGAATGACATTGAACATGATCAACCTAAAAGCGATTCCGAAAAAATTCTATCATCTTCTAATTGAGGTATAATTATCGTTTCATATCAGAGACCAAATTTGTATCTTGAGGCAACAAAATGTATCCTAACATTCCGAGAGAGGGGAGTACTTAGACATTGTAAAAGTAGTCGCCATGAGATTGCGATATTTCAATAACATCCAAAGCACTTGACGAAGAATGTTTTGAGATAAAACAGAAGAACAAATCAAAACCAAATTAGAAAAAAATAGTGACAATTAAAATGGTTTTTCTCTTAAGGTACCGCAATAAAAAAGATTAACCTGAAAATATCGCGTGTTACTGAAAAAAGAATGAAATTAAATTCTCGTTGCGACTTTTCAAAATTTGTAGAAATGAGCGCTGATTTCATAAAAAGTTAAGCACTTCACAAGTCAGAAATATCAATGTAAAAAATCCAAGATGACCTAAAAAAAAAAAACAAACAACCCAAAGACATTTTACATATGCAAACTGGGTCATAGCTTAGTTCTCATGGACAGTTGGCGTAAACTTATATCAAATACAGCAGATGACAAAGTAATCTAGTTAACTGACGCTGATTTGAGTAGTGGATTTTGATGAAAAGAAATTAGTATGTGCTACTTGCGTGATGAGCCACAGGCGCAATAAACATGGCTAACTTATTGAAAACAACTGCGAATATATTCAAAATTATCGACTTAAAAAGAGAATTCATTCTGCATTTTCTGATAGACAGAGGCCTTTCTTTTCAACCTAAACGCAAAATCTGCAGACACATCCCTTCGTCGAATCGATCCATTGAGTGCAGGAGAACCAACAGATTTTTATAAAACGAATAGCCAAGCAAAAAAAGATGCCGCAATGCTGACTGTTTTGAATTGACTGTGACTTCACTTCTCATTTATTGTTGAAATTTCCCCTGCAGGTACCTTGTCAGTTTTAGATTCCTTCGATTACAGGACCGAGAAAGGGTATGTTCTTACAGTCGTAGCCAAAGGCGAGAGCTCCTCAAAAACGTCGTCAACTACAGTGACACTGTCAATTACAAACGATGACGGCCCGCCGGTCTTCGTTAAGAAAAGCTATGAAGTTGTAACTCAAGAAAACGTTAATGTTGGAACAGCTCTACTTGTCGCTGGTGATGGATTTCGTTTCTCCACCGACGGTAGGCCCGCAACCGATTTTGTCTGTTCCCTAGATGATATCACGAGTAGGGAAATACTGGATCACTTTCAAGTGGATAGAATAGGTTACGAATGTCACGTAAAAGTGATTAAAAATTTTGTTCAAGTCTCCAACCGAGAATTCACTTTTCAAGTCCGCGTGACAGACATCAATCAAAGGAACCTGTTTGATAAGGCTGGCGTGACGGTAAAAATAACAGACACGAACGACTATGCCCCCGAGTTCACGCAATCCTCCTACTGGGTTTCCATCGCCAGTGACACTTCCCTGGGAACCAGTTTAGTACAAGTGACTGTCTTTGACAGAGATACCCCTGGAAAAACTGAGTTTGTTTTAGAGCTCTTATCCGAGGGTGCGGATGACAGGTGTGTAACTGTTTTAACATAGGCTTACTAGGATAATCAGAATGATACTCCTCAATATCTCTCATAGGTCTCTTCAGAAGTTCTTCAGCCGCGAACTGCAAGTGCCATTTGGTATTTCGCAGCCATTTAACCTTTTACAACCCAAACTCGGTGTGCATATTCTCCACACCGTTCTCTATATGTTTACTAAGGCGCTGACAAGGAGAATTTGTTTAGCAATCACGAGGTTCTTTAGTTAGTGATCATCTTCTTTATTCTCGTTACCTGAATGTTTGGTTCAGGGATGTTATTTTAAAAAGAAATTAGTATTAAGGGTTAAGAGGTTCGGTGCCGTAATATAGTGTAATATGTTTGTCTTCCCTGTCCACCCGTCCTCGCAAAAAAAAAAAATTGTTTTTAATTTCTTTAGGAAGGGATTCCTTCATGTAAAATTTTGGATGCAATTAATGTGTAATGTAGAAATCCTAAAAAACCGATAACTATAGTCCCGGCTGAATGTTCAAACACCTAATTTAACATCGTGTTAATCGCACACAACATGAGTTGTGAGCCTACAAGAATGATACATTTACGTATATGTATCCAAAATGAGAAGCCATCCAAACGGCCAAACATGCAGCACCAGCAGAATCTTGGACGAAAATGTTTGATTATTTAGCCAGGGCTTTAGACATCTCTCTGAATATAGAATTTGAGCATTTAGCTATACTTTTGAAAACAAACAATGCAATTGTAAGCCTTCTTATATATGCTTCAGAATCAGATTACTTTTTCCTGTGGTGATTGTTGAAATTTCGATCCCATTTTTATTTCATTTTTTCTATTGGTTGGATGGTCAACTTTTTCTCGTCTACTCTCGACTCCTCTTTGACTCCGTTCTATCTTCTTTCTCGACAGATTTCAAATAGACAGCGATGGCATAGTTCGCACGATTACATCGGGTCTACCCGAAAACAGAATTTTCAACCTCAAAGTCAAGGCGAAAGAAACAGGTAGGTACATAGTTCTGCAGTGACGGTGACTTCTCTGTCTGTCTGTCTTTCATATTACGAATCAGATAGACGTTTTTGATGAAATGCCTTTTTCACGTTTAAGTTTAATGGGAAACGCACTGAAGGTATTGACAAGCTTTTCCGCTGGATTGTATTGTCATCGTAAAAACATATTTTTGTATTCAGCATCATAAAATATCTGTGATGAAATGAAATAAGATTTTTTTTAATATGACAAGAATTTAACCTCTGGTTCATTTCACACTTCTAAATAATTGCTTCTCGTCTAACTAGCTATTAAAAATCAGACAGACTAAGGAGAAGCGGCCTGCTCCCAAAACCTGTTCTGGATAGTGAGTGTAGAAATAAGTATCTAGAAAATTCTGGGAAGAATGCCTAGTCATGCTGACATGCATATCATGAACATTTTACTAAGTCACGTAATCACAATGTAATGTCAGTGTTGACCTAAGATGTAGACTGTTGTGGGCTTAGGTAAGTGTATTAAGATAATTACTGTACTGCCTTTGATAAAATTGTTGAGTTTGTAGTATAGCGTTCTTTCTGTTGGTTAGATTGTACCGTAACAAACCATATTTTTTTTGCCGCAACTGAAACGTTTTTTATAAAATAATGACATTGAAAATGTTTTAATAATCAACAGGATAACTTGTTTATTCAAGTATTTTTTCAAATATGCTTGAAACTCGATTAAAGAGGAAGCCATTTTAAAATTTGCCTGGGAACATGGGCTCTCGTCTGTAATTTGGCGAGATTTCATTTTATTATCATTTTTTTGGATAAATCGAAAGCTGTTTGATGACATAGAACCAACACGAAAAAGCGCATTTTTGGCTGAAATAATGAGTTCTTGTAAGTGAGAACCAGAGCAGCATCTACTTGTAAACCGCGCGTTGGAGTTTTGAGTGCGAGGCCTAGCTACCGAGCTGTTTCAAGTTGACAGTCTACCGGCAACTATTAAACGGGAAGTTTAAAATCATAATCTTTAGACACGGGGAATACCACATTTTGCTTTAGGTATGCAAGAGCCAAAAAAAAATACTTCATAATGTCAGGTGGTAAACTCTACGATCATACATGATGAACCAAATGGTTAATCCAAACAATAACATGGGTCGCAAGTCTAGATGGTTAATTTAGCGCTCAAAAGCAACACGAGATGTCATCCAAACTTCGCAGTTTCACTCACATTGGAGCAAAGTTGGTCCTAATCTACGTATACTTTCCATCTCACACAGGTACCGATCCCCAACAAGAGAGCGAGGTGTCATTGAAAATCTCCGTGCAAAGGACGCCTTTCGTTCCGGTCGAGTTTGGCAGTAACAGTTACCTTCAATCTCTCACTGAAGACGCAACCGTCGGAGCATCAGTGTTCACCGTGAGTGCTTCGCGATCAGGTTCAGACTCCGGAACCCTAACATACTCCATAGTAGGCGGAAATCTGGACAATGCTTTCAAAATCGATACCAGCAGCGGTAAGGTGACCTTAGCTAAGAATCTTGACTATGAAACTACCAAGAAGTACAACTTGATCATCCGGGCAACTTTTGATTTCTCCGATGGAAATATTCCGGATGTTGCAGCCGAGGTTACAGGCCAGGTTACTGTGCAGGATGTTAATGACAATAGTCCCAGGTTTCTCCTTTACAACCGACCGACAAAAATTGCGATTGAGAGCTATACACCAAGTGCCACGGAAGTGATGAAGGTAATTCATTATTGATGTTATTGATACAAACGTAGACTCAGGTATTAATAAGTAAAAAGCCATGGGGTAAATTATGACAGGACAGGACAAATTGATGCGGCACTGGATTAAAACACTGGAGCATAGACGAGAACATTTTTTTTTTTATATATTTAACAATTTTTCGCTGGAGAAGTAAGAGAATATTGTTGAATACTATCCGAGAGGAAATATTCACTGAGCCTGAGGTGACTAAATATTTTTGGGTAATTTTTCTGCTGTTATTAGAGCAAAGACGTGAATTTTATTTCATTTCTTTGCATCCAAGTTTTTAGGCATCAAACAACACTACGTAGTCACTCTTTCTTGCTATTTAATGACGAGCTGGTCCATCGCCTAATTGATTTTCCATTCAGAAACTATATATGATCGCGGTTCCTTTCTGTTAAAGATACGGTTTAAAATCTATTTTCCCCAGGTGACGGCAACAGATGAGGATACGGAAAACTTTGGCTCTGTATCGTATAATATTCATGACTCCGCAAGTAATCCATCCGTTGACATTCCATTCTCCATAAACTCTGTCACAGGCTCGCTCAAGACCAACAGAGAAATCAAGTATGGTAGAATATAATTTATATCAATTAACAACCATTTGGCTAATCGTCGGATGAACAGAAAAATGTACTTAAATGTATTCTGCACGAGATTCTCTTTTTCAAACAATCTGTGATCTCGAGTCTGGTTAGGACCCTTTATTTTTGAGCGCATTCGATATAAAAATCAAGACCAAAAGCGTTTCTTTCTTTTTACTGATTTTTTTAAGAGCAGAATTCGGGGAAAACTTCAGAAATCGTATGCAAATTGGACTTTAGAAGCTGCTTCTCCTTCTCTGACTTAGTACTTCTTTGGTGTAATTAGATTTTCAGATGGAAGCTTCTATGCGATAGTAGTAAGGGCTGTAGATGGAGCCAGCCGAGAAACTGCCGTGACCATTGAAATAACAGTCTTGAATATCGGCAAGCCTCCGACATTCAAACAAGAAGAGTACTTGAAAAGCGTTAGTGAGAAAAGTCCCGTTGGTACCAGTGTGATCGACATAAAAGCTGACCATAACGACCCCACTGCCCCATTAAAATATGCAATCATCAATGGTGACCCCGAGAACAGATTCTGTATAAACTACTTGGGTGTTATTAGTGTGGCGCAGCCCCTGGATCGCGAGAAGGTGCCATCATATGAGCTCTCAGTAATGGTGTCCCTAAATAACAAAAACAGTACCACCGTTGTCAAAGTTACCTTGCAAGATGCCAACGATCACGCACCGTCTTTTGAGAAGTCAATTTTGGTCATAAATGTCCCTGAAAATGAAGGTTTGTTTTACACTGATGAAGGAGAAACCCCCATGCCATATGTAGTTTAAAAATCATTAATTTTCCGATACTTTCTAACCAACTTTCTTAGAAATGTCCCCAATCTTAAAATGCCATCGTAAGGTATGTAATGCTTTAGTGGAGCCTTCAGGTCGTGCTTCATTTTCTAGCTGTGTCACAAAATGAAGAACTCTTTTTGTTTTCGACTTGTTCCTCTTTTGTCAAAAACTCAAAAGACGCAGAAACTTAATAAGGGTACACCACAGAGCGTTTGACTTAATATTTCAGGAACAAGGGAAAAATTATAACTTTAAACTGTCTTGCATGATCCAAAATGCTTCTAAAACTCAACTAATAGTCTCTGGATAATACTATATGAATCCCTGGAATTCAGAAGTCACAGCAGTATATGGTTCTTTGGCATCACAACCAGTGCTAACGCCCAATTATTTATTTTTTTCACACCAGTCAATCTCAATTTAAAACGTTTGAAGGCAATTGATCAGGACAATGGTGATTACGGAAAAGTAACTTACTCCATCATACAGAGTGTCAGGAGTGACACTAAAGAGCTTTTTGAGGTAGAGCCCGATAGCGGTTGGGTCAAACTGAAAAAGCCTCTGGATCGTGAGAAAGCTGCTGAACATGTGCTGTTCATCAGGGCACAAGACGGTGCACAACCAGAACCACTGAGCGGTAAGTCAATGTAGACTATGTCTTGAAACTGTGAAGTCCCTTACGACCGCCTCACCACTGTCCGTTCCTTAGTATTTGTTATTTAATAATAGTAGTATTAGTATTATTTATTAATATTTGAGCCATAAATCGATGGGAAACTCTCCGCTAAAAAATATTCTGCTTCAACCATTTTTGATCATGTCATGAGTTGGGGCGGTGGTATGGCTGCCGAGATTTGCGTTATATTTTTCATGGCTCGCGTGGTTTAATCTCATTAGTCAAATCGGTCAAATCGAGTCAAACTCAAGGTAGAGGCAACAAATTTAACTTATTAATTATTGATGTTTGGGTTTATTTTTTTCAGATATTGTCAAGTTAATTATCCGAGTAACAGACGTAAATGACAACAAACCACGTTTCTCTACTTCTTCTTACCAAGCCTCAATACCTGCCAACCTCAAACATGGAAGTAAAGTAGTCCAATTATCCGCCACAGATCTAGATAGTGGTGCCAACAGACTGTTATATTACACCATAAAGAAGGGCAACAAGGACGGTATTTTTGAGATAAAAAATGACAACGGACTTATCACCCTAGGCAATAGGCCTCTAGCGTCTGCACTCCAGGACACATTCACTTTAATTGTGGAAGCCGCCGATGAAAAGGACAGAAATAAAAAAGACGAAGCAACGGTGTTGATAAATGTGTTTCCTCCTGATGGACCCCCGCGGTATCCAGATCCTTCGTTAAGTTTCGACATACAGGAGGGAATCTTGGCTGGACAGAAGATCGCATCAGCAGCCGCAGCCACCACAGAGTACGTCATTTACACCATACTGTCGGGTAACGAAGATGGTGTGATTCAAATTGATCCTTTCTCGGGGGATCTAGTGACGGCTCAAGAGCTCGATTATGAAAAAGCCGATCGGTATGAATTGCACGTAATGGCGCAAGATATCAAAGGACGGAAAGCTGAAGTCAAAATCATCATCAACGTCATAGATATCAATGACAACAGCCCGTTCTTCATCGATGAGGTCAAAGGGAAGGTCGATCAAAGAGCAACGGCAGGTGCTCGTGCAGGTGACGAAGTGGCCCAAATAGTAGCATATGATCTAGACAATGAGTCTTCCATGAAGTACAAATTATCCCCTGATGCAGAGGCTTACATTGATATTGACGACCAGGGAATTATTCGTGCCAAAAGAACTCTTGACGGTACTATTCCCGGAAAGCGCTCTACTGAACCTTTAAGGACATTAAATTTCAATTTAGAGGCTCGTGATGGTGCCAATCCACCGAATTCTGTAACAACATCTGTGCGCCTGGCATTTACTAATGACCAAGCAGGCCAAAACACTGTGGCCTTAAGGGTTAGGGAGGACACGCCGGTCGGTAAGGTTTTTGCCGTGACTCCCAGATACATTCCTGGTGGAAAGTTCTCCATCTTGTACCCAGAAGAGACCCCTTTCTCTGTCGACGAGGAGGGCAGAATTCAACTCAAAACGTCACTCGATTTTGAAACTCAAGCGGTGTACACTCTGACAGTCCGAGAAGAAGCTTTTACTTCCAGTGGTCCCATCTTCAACGATATAAACTTCGAGATCTCTGTCGTAGATGTCAATGATAACGATCCCCGATTTGAATTGAGGCAAAGGCACGGAACAGTGAACGGTAACGCTCAGGCTGGTGCTTCGGCTTTGAAACTTTACGTATCGGATGCAGATACTGATGCGAATGGACTTGCAGGTTACCAACTTGTCACCAGTAACGCTCCCTTTGGCATTGACCCGTTGGAAGACACTCTAAAGGTTGGCGGCCCTCTAATGAAGTCTCAGTACGACCTAGAGATACGTTCATTCGATTATGGAGTACCTCGACGCCAGAACAGCCCATTAAAACTTCGATTAGATGTTGGACAACTGCCTCCAAGATTTATCGACTTTCACGACGATGGGTACAAGTTTGAGGTGCCCGAAGACGCTAGGGGTGGGACTGTAATAGGAAAGATCCAAGCTTTAAGTGTCTCAGGTAGCAGAGTGGGATATAAGATTTCAGATGGAAACTCAGGTAATAGATTTCGAATCAACAGTGATGGTGAAGTCATGCTCAATTTTCTCCTGGATTACGAGACACAAGCAAAAGAATATGAACTGCAGGTGGAGGCTATCGAGATGATTCCTTCCGGTCTGATCTCTTCAATCGATGTCAAAATCTTAGTTTTGAATGCTAATGACCACCATCCTATGTTTGAACAAGGATCGTACACGGCTACCGTGCCAGAAGACGCGGCCTTCGGGAGCTCGATATTGACTGTAGCCGCTACAGACTGTGACTGTAGCCAGGATTGCAGTTGCTCTTCAGGGCAGTTGAGCTACTCAGTGAAAGATACCGAGTATTTCACAGTGGATCCCGACACTGGAGTTATATCACCAGCACGTTCTTTGGATTACGAACGCATTATAACACACATATTTCAAGTCCGTGCATCTGATCATCTGAGGAATAAAACGAACGCAGCTTTGGCGTATGTTAAGATCAATGTTACGAACGTGAATGACAATCAACCCAGGTTTGCAAATCCCGAGTATAGTTTCTCCGTCGACGAAGATGCACAAGTTGGGATAGGATTAGCGGTGATTGAAATTCATGACGATGACCACGATGAAATTACATATTCCATAGTCCAAGGGAGCAGCCCTTTCACAATAGATGCTAGAACTGGGGTCATTTCTCTTTCACGAAAACTTCCCAGCAGTCCTTGGGAATATACGTTCACCATTCGAGGAACGGATTCAAACGGAGCCTTCAGCGACGCGAAAGTTTTCATGACCATCAGGGATAAGAACAACAATCGACCAGTGTTCGAAAAGTGCGAGGACTCTACAGTGACAGAGAATCTATCCCCCGGACAAGTAGTTACCCAGATTGTGGCTACAGACGTGGACAGGGGTTTAGGTGGAGAAGTAGAATACAGTCTGGCGTATGGCGATGAATTCTTTGAGATTGATAATACCACTGGTGTGCTAAAAACCACTGTCACCTTCGACCGAGAAGAAAAAGCCGAATATAAAGTCGTTATCAAAGTTGAAGACGGTGGGCATGGTCGAAGCTCCTCTGAACGACTTCTGAGGTATTGCAAGCTGGAAGTCATCATTGGAGATGTAAATGATAACTACCCCTATTTTCCAGTGTGGACCTACGAAGGAAGCGTTTGGAATAACGCCGAGATAGGAACCTCAGTCATGAGAGTTCACGCGTTCGATTCGGATGCAGGCGTGAACGCCAATGTAGAATACCATTTGGAACCCGATGACAAGTTCGAGATATCAGAAAGGGGCGTCATATCAACCAAAGTGTCACTGGCATCTTTTACGGGAAAAATGACATTAACTGTCTTACCTTCGAATACGGAGCCGATGACTGCTGGTGCAGATAATAGTGCGGATCGGAGTACAAATATTGAAATCTTTGTCTCAGACCTTCCACCTCCGGAGTTTACGAAGGCAATATATACCGCTTCAGTCCAGGAAAATCAAGTTGCAGGTAAGTGGACAAAACAGAAATCCCATCATTCCCATTTTCCCTGCAATCCTTCAATCATTTCCGTGGAATAAATAAAAATGTATTTTGTTCATTTCTTTATTCTCAAGGTTATTTTACATAGATGGTAAGAAAACTTCAAGAAGTTCATCATCAAGTGCGTTTTGGTCTAATGTCACACGAGTTTTCATCTAAGCTGATACTTACTTTTGGCAATTTTTTTCTGTTTAAGGTCGTGGTTGTGACCATCAGTAATTGGCCGTTGTGTTTCATTCTGGTTTTCCTTGATTCTCTTAGTGGTCGTGACCTGTAAACAGTTTCAAGTATCTCGTTACCTCACGCTTAAAGGCAACCCCTTGATTTGATTTATTTTATTCAGTTGCCGGTGTTGCAGACGAATTATCTTTACATCATAAACATGTAACTGAAATGTTTTTAAGTAACTGAAATGTGATTTCAAAGTGTGGCTACTTCTGTAATCGGAAAAGGTCAGAATAATTGTACAAATCACGTTTGGTCGACTATGGTCATTAAGTGTTGAGAGAGTAGGCTTTTTCATAAAAGATTTAAACTTGTATGGCTTAACTTAAACGCAACGTTTTTGTCCTGTAATCTATCTGCAGATACGACAGTCCTAACAATTCAAGCAGTTTCTAAAAACAACCAACCGTTAACATACACTCCCTTATTCACCTGGCAATTTGCCTCAGAGTTCTTTCACATCAATCCTCAGACTGGAGAGATCAAGACAGGTGGTAAGGCACTTGATTATGAGGAGCTTAAGATATTTCGTATGCAGTTCAAAGCATCCGAGAGCAAGACACTTTTTTCCACTTGCCTCGTGGAGATTCGGATCACTGATGTCAACGACAACACCCCAATATTTGGAACGGAGTTTTACGAGGGTAGGGTTCTCGAGAATTCTCCGCCGAATTCGGAGGTCCTTCAAGTGCATGCGTACGATCCGGACACTGGAGGTGGGGGACTTTTGACTTACTCCATCATTGAAAGCGACACTACCGATGGAAAGTATTTCAGTATTGACTCCAGCACTGGACTTATAAGAACGAAGGAAACATTTGACCGCGAGGTTGCTGATGAAAAGCACTTCACTGTCTTAGTCGAAGCTAAAGATAAAGGAGGCAAGTTTGGGAGGAGCTATGTTGATATCGAAGTCGTCGATGACAATGATGCGGGGCCAGTGTTTGCTACAACTCAGTATTCTCTGAGCGTCAGGGAAGATGCTGAGTTGGGTTGGATTTTGCACTCCTTTACCGTGCAAGATATTGATGTTGGTCTTAACTCTTTAGTAAGTTTTTACATCTCGTCTGGAGATGTAAGACATGCATTTCATCTGGAGACAGTGTACTATCCTCAAAATGTTGGGCAGCTCATTGTCGATGATAAGCTTGATTACGAAACTGATAAGGAGTACAATCTGAAGATCATCTCTACAGACGGAAGAACAACAAGTCAACCGCCAGCAAGGGTTAGAATCGAGGTATGAGCTTGACCTGTGTTTGACCTTGAAGCAGCTTTCAATTAAGTAGCGTTGAAAGCTGTCGTTGGCAAATAACAAAAAGTATATAAAAAAAAAACAACTAAAACCCATGGCCTCTAGAAATCGCTTCAGCCAATCGTTAGACGGTCTCGCCTTTGTTCACATGGAAATAAACAATGAACCACATTCCTGCCTTCAAATTTTCATTTTCAGTAAAGTTAAGTAAGTCATTTTCAGTAAAGTAAGTCTTGTGTAGGTAGATAAAGGGAAGCTTTAGGTGCTGCGACCTTTGTCTAAGTTAATTTCACTGAACTAATTTTTCACGTTACCACGTTCCCACCACTAACCTAGCTCCATTTTGCTATATACAAACCACACAAAATATCCACACTGAAACGTCAGCTCTAGAAATTCTTTACGGTGGCCAATTTGAATTATCAACTCAGTTGATACAACCAAATAATCTTGTAATACCTACCACCGGCGCAGCACCACAGTTTCTTTTAATTTAATCCCTTTCATCAAGTTAAATTTGTTCCACGTAGGTACAATGCTGATTAGCTCCAACCTACCTAGACAGAAAATAACAAAAATTGAACTTATTTCCAGGTTATAGACGTTAACGACAATGCCCCGGTGTTCAATCAACTTCGTTATGATGCAACTGTGGTGGAAGGCAGTCCAGGAAGCCTGCTTGTGGTGACAGTAAGTGCTACTGACATCGACACGACTGGCGAGACTATTTCTTACTTCTTAGACAAACAGGGCGAGATGTTCTTCACGATTGGTCCAGAGAATGGGGAGATACGTACTAGTGGGAGACCGCTGGACAGAGAGGAAACGCCTGTGTTGTATTTCAAGGTCCAGGCTACTGACGGAATTTTTATTGGATCTGCAGGTGTAAAGGTGTGATGTAATTTAGTTTAATAAGAAAATAGAGATCTAAAACATTACAACAATGCTAAGGAAACAATGAATGACAACCGCCACGACTTGACTATCAATATTTCTATCCCACAATACAACACAAGTTTAATTTTGTCATACGCTCAACTATTCTGATGTGACATAACGTAATGAAATGACACACCAGCTAATTTACAGGTATACCATATGAATTGAAATTGAATTTGAAAGTACATACTTTAACATGGAACAGAATTTTAAAAAGTTTGAGTCAGGATCCTAAAATACGATTTAGAACAATTCCACGTTATGCTAAGAAGTAAAAACGGTAGTCGTACATACAATGATATAAAAATAAGTAAAAAGTTAGGCACATACTGAAATGATGTGCATAAGAGTGTTCTTGGCGAATGTAATTGTTTAGGTTAAGTGATAGTTGATAGAGGGCGTAATTCAGTAAATTATCGTGTTTGCGTAGTGTAGTGGAGCTGGTAAACAGGAATCCAGTTTTTTGAAAGCGTACGTTTATTCTTTTTTGTGTAATCCCTATCTTAATTCACACCTTTCATTTTCACCCTTTAAATTCGCTTGCAGATCGTTGTTCTCGATATCAATGACAAAGCACCCTACTTTCCAAGTCCTCCATACATTGGTACTATCGAGGAAAACAACCCTCCGGGCACAAGCGTGATTGTCGTACAAGCTATCGACGAAGATGACCCAAAAGAGAATGGGAACACCGACCTAACCTACTCTCTAGATGACGATAGTGACGGGCTCTTCGTGATTGACAGTAAAACTGGGCTCATATCCAATACTATGACCTTTGATAAAGAAGGGGACCCGGACGAGTACAACGTCACCGTGAGGGCGACAGACAATGGGACTCCCCGACAGCTTAGCGGCACAACAGTGGTAACTATCAGAGTAGTAGACGCCAACGACCATAAACCGATATTTGAACCTCTGGAGTATAGAGCGTCTGTCCCGGAAAATGCATTTCCCGGATTCTTCGTGACACAAGTTAGCGCTACAGATATAGATTTGGGCTTCAACGGTAAATTTGAGTTTACCACGGTGTCTGGCAACGATCCCTATGCGTTCTACATCAACCCTGCTACTGGTGCGATATTGGTGTCGGGAGAGTTAGACTATGAAACACGACCAAGTTACACTCTGAAGATAAACGTATCCGACCTAGGTATCCCCCAACAGACTTCTTCAGAGCTTGCTTCCGTGTTCATCACCATCATAGACGTAAATGACCATCCTCCGATCTTTGTGCCAGATACGTACAGCATATCCATTAACGAAGACGAACCCGTTGGTTCTTCTTTACTAAGTTTGGTGACTAACGATCTTGACAAGGGCATTGAGACAAGGCTGTGGTTCACGGTCGAGTTTGGAGACTCAACTGACAGCTTTGACGTCAGACCTGATCCAAATAATCCTAGTATAGGTATTTTATACATAACTGCTCCCCTGGACCGAGAAACAGTCAGCAGTTACAAGCTGGAGATAAAAGCCGAAGATGCTGATGAACTCTTTGTCATTTGCTTCGTGACAGTAACAGTACTAGATATCAACGACAATGGGCCACACTTTATCCCTCCTATCTTCTTCGGCAGCATCGTCGAAAAGGTGTCTACAGCGCAGTTTGTTGTGACGCTTAGTGCTTTTGACCCGGATGAACCGTTTAATGGACCACCGTTTGAATACAAGATACTCAATGGAACGGTAGAGGGGAATTTTTATATAGAGCCAAGTTCGAAGACCAGTACCACTGCCGATATCTACTCATTGGCTTCATACCAATTCAACTATGAAGAGAAACAAGAATGGAAACTGTGGGTACAAGTAACGGACAATGGCAATCCTGCCATGTCGAACATAACTGTAGTCTACATCGAGGTTAAAGATTCTGTCAATAACAACGCCCCTTTTAATGCCACAATGACGATCATTTTAAACTCGTATCAGGGACGCTTTGCGGGGGGAGTTATAGGAAAAGTTTACTACAGAGACAACGACTTTGAAGTGGATGAAAACGGCTACACAATTACGACGCAGAATCCAGGATCGTTTTTCACTTTGGATACAAACACGGGCCACCTCTCTGCACCGGAAAATATTCCTGCGGGTAACTACGGACTTTTCGTACGTGTAACAGAAAAAAACAGAAATCAGGCGTTACCACCCAAAGTTGTGTTCTCAGGCATAACTGTTATGGTTCGAAATATTTCACAAGCTGCCGTACTAAAAAGTACCACAATACAGTTCGTGCAAATCCATAAAAAAGCTATTTTCGTTGGTGATTACTACTCGAAGCTTGTAGGGGTACTTCAAGAAATTTTTAGCAACAATGGTGGAGACTTCTTTGTACAATACTACGTTTATATCTTCAGTATACAAATTGATACAGACGACCCACAAGCTATAAATGTACAATTAGCGGTAAACACCCCTAAAAACGAGTATTGGAGTACAACTGATATACTGACGAAGCTGATAGAGAAGAGATCTTCGCTTGAAAGTATCGGTAAGATTTAAGTTGAATTCCGTTTTGTTTTGAAATTTTAGCATTGATAAAAGCTATATTTTTGAACATATCTATTTGCTTCAAATGTTACATTCACATTTCGGTTATTTTCAGGGCTAACTGTAAGCACCTTCGGTATTGATACATGCGCAAAAGAATACAACAAAACTGGTATCTGCCGGAACGTGGTGAGCGCCTTCACTACGTTTACAGTGATCAGCGGCGACTATGGTCAATTACCTGCACCTGACACCTCTCTCGCGTTTGTATCAATCGATGTGAAACTTGAAGCAAAATACTTTTTCTTCGAGATTAAACCTGTTCTAAGATGCTTAGATAAGCCTTGTTTGAATGGTGGCATATGTCATGACGTTCAACCAGAAGGTAAGTGATACAGTCACATTCATCAAAAATGATCATTGATGGAAGTTTATCCCTGTGCTATGATGTAAGTCCCATGCTTGATAGGGTCGAATAGACGTATTTCGGCCTAGGGAATATCTCCTATGTGAGGACGAAGCTACTCCTTATAATTTTTGGCTACATGAAATTATTGACTGACTGAAATGTTTGTAAAGAAATAATTGGCAATGAGAAAGCCATATCTCTTTAATTATTGACGATTTCAATGTTGGGGATGGCACTCTTGAGGTCCGACGGGCCCCAAGACACTAACAAAATTGCCAAAACTTCACATCATTTTCGGTTCTTTTCCAAATCTGAAAAACATGAAGTTGATATGTTAGCCGATTTTAGAATAAAGCAGACAGCTACTACCTCTAAAGAACAATGATCGTAAGCCTTAGGACAATAAAAGTAACTGAAGCTTATCACCTTTGCGGAAAATAAATTTAGATATCTGACACGTAAACTGCGTTTCCCTAGGGATTATTTGCCAATGCAAGCATAAGTTCGCCGGGTTAGTTACTGGGCCTCTTTGCCAAGAAACGACTCGCACGTTCGAGGGAGGCCTGGGAGAATCATACATCTGGCTTGAAAAGCTTGTGGCTTACGACAGGAATGTTGTACAGCTGGAATTCACCACAACAGTTGCAGATGGTCTAATTCTTTACCAAGGGCCATTATTGCAAGGTATGCGCTTTTTCCTTAGTTCTTTTGCAAAACTGGTGCAGAAAAAATCAAATCAACACGTTATAGGTACAAGTAATTCTTGTTCTTTGGCCATTTCAAGTTTATTGAAGCACAAATCATGCCTCAACAAGCATATCCAGCTGTCATTGTCAAGATGATAACAATTATCTTTAAAAGAGGACTATATTACCTGTAACTAAGCACTAATAGATGAACAAAACAAAATTTAAGAAAACAAATTCATTGGAAAGCGAAAAAAAAAAACGTTTGCCCTTTTCCAATTTAAATCTGATCTCTTGTTAATTTCAGTTTCATTGCGAGAAAAATTTTTCTAACTTTTTCATAGTGGGCGTCGGTCAGCCTCGTGATTTCCTGGCCATTGTTTTGTTTGGGGGCTTCATTCGTGTCGTCGTATCATTGGGATCACAGCCTTTAACTTTAACGATGTCGCGTGGTCCTCGACTGGATGATAGTCAATGGCATTCTATTGAAGTGCGTCAAGAGTTGAAGGTATAAGATTGCATTTACACTGACGTACAACATTTCATTACCAAGTTCACTTGGCAGCGAGAATTGCTCCCTGTTTTCTTCCAAGATGAAATAGTTTTTTGAATGATAGTTGTCATGGAATAACTGCAAATAAAAAATTTTCTTTGATTTTTTCAAGTTTTGTTGCCAAGTATTAAGTCCAATCATCTAAATAGGGAAACTTTTAGTTCAAGTAGTTTTCCTTGACAACTTTTTTCGCAGTTTAATTGGCAAGATATTACAATTTTTCCTTTTCAAGTTTCGTTGTCAATTATCTGAATCTGGCAGTATTTGAAAAATAATATTTTTCAAGGGCGTTAAGTTATTTCAACTCGATTTGCAATTTGGAATTTCGGAGGAAGGCGAACCCAGGGAAAAAAATTATTGAGGCACGAATCAAAATTAACAACAGTTTCAACCAACGAATGATACAAGGTCCGAAGAATCGCTCTCAGGTCGCCGCCACCAATGTCTGAAGCCAGGTTCGAGATTCGAAACAGGGCCACAGGCAAGGCTCTCGTAGCTGCGCCATTGCTGTTCAGCTCAAGTCAGTCTCAATGAGTAACATGTAGTCATGTTTCCACAGACGTTTACAGTCATTATTGACCAATGCAAGAACGCACGTTTGATACAGCTTGGGGATCAGTTGGTGGAGGATGAAAGCGATTGTAAAATATCAGGAAATGTCAGAGGAACCGATGTGTAAGTATTTTTATGAGAAGGAAAAATTTCTACGAAGATTGCAGAAGAATTCCCGAAGACTGTCGTAAGTCACACTTGTGTTTTGGGATTTAATATTTTCGAAGATCAACAATCTTCCTATAAATCTCCGAGGGTTACTTCTCTTCCAAAGATAAAAGTATCATTTGTACTTACTCTCGACTTATAATTTTTGTTCTTTCAGTTTCCTGAACAGTATTTGGCCACTTCAAATTGGAGGGGTGGAAAACCCGCAAGTTTCATATCCAGACCTCAATTACACGGGTTTTGTGGGATGCATACGAAAAATTATCAACAATAAACATATGTACGATCTCAAGAACCCCCTCAAAGTGGTCAACTCTCCCGAAGGCTGCACCTTGGCTCTCACCGCTTGTTCGTCTTGTAATAACAATGGATACTGTGAACCGTACTTGGACAAGGAGAGCGTTTGTGTATGTGATGTGGGGTATTCTGGAGACGACTGCTCGGCATGTAAGTATTTCTGTTGTAACATTTTTAAAAAAAAATACTTTCTACTCAGTGACGAAAGTAATCTAAGTTGCATTAGACTTTTCTGCACCACGCTCTGATTGATCTAAAAGACTCGCGCCAATTTATTAACCATTTACTCGTTTTTTCTTCCACCGACTCCTGTTTGCTTATTTACTCCTTGAGTTCCTTTTCCCTGGTGTATGCCTTTTCTTTGTTCTGATTCTGGCTAGTCGTGGTTACGTTGTATAATAAGTTTTGAAGTTAAAAAACCCATTTGAAGTCGCCCTATTTCTATGTTGTACTGAGTCAGTTTTAGAAGCCTAAATGTCACACAGATCATAAAAGCAGAGCTTATTAAATCAATGCCATTATCTCTGGCTAGTCTTTTCAGCATTCTCTGACCCTCCCTTGAAGGAGAAAAGATAGTGATGAGTATTGGTTACGATGTTGAAGATGATGGGATTTTGATACGTATATCTAGCCAAAGAGATTTTTCGAAGAGATAAATTATGATAAAACCGTTTTTAAAACCTTGTAAATAAGAGGGAAGCTAACACATCTAGTAATGAACGATTTACAATTTTTTTATGACTAAGTGTTGCAAGTGACTTGATGTTTTTACCGTCGTCAGTGGGGTCAAAGTTTCTCTTTTGAGGTTTTCGTTTAGTTTCAAGTAGAAAACAAAACAATTGGTTGTGGGGGCTCCCGTTTCAGAGTATCCAAAACGTGGAGATTTCACGTTCAAATTACATCAGAGAAATATACACCATTTTAAAATACACTAGTAACACTGCTATTCCGGCTAATGACTTAGTTTTTTTTTTTCATCACCTTGCCTTTACCGTCACCATTCTTGTTTGCATATGGTATCTGATATTTGATACTTATTTTCCTTTTTCCACCGTATCCAGCGACTGTTGGGAATTACTACTTGGAAAACAGTTACTCCCAGTATTCCCTATCAGCCTGGGATTCAGCAGCAGCATCGTCATCATCATCGTCTTCTTCTTCCTTTTCGTCATCGTCTTCATTTTCATCATCGTCGTCATCGTCATCATCATCTTCGTCGTCATCGTTAACCTCGTCAAGGAGAAGACGAGACGTTGCTCCAGCGCCCCAACCAGTGACGAGTGAATATTTCACGAACATTGCCTTGAAAGTCAAAGCCTCGACAAGTACCAACACCAGCCTCGTATTCCTGGCCACTAACAGCCTCGGAACCGAATTTGTCAGGATTGGCGTAAGTACTGAATCCATTTCATCCCAAGACTTGCTGCTCACCTAGAAATGCGGGTCTGCCGGCCTATTCAATTTTCTTTGTTTAGTCCCTGATCAGAGAGGAAATGATCCAATCAAGTGTTGTTCCGTATGTGAAAATGGAGAGCAAAGTTTGTGCTTAGGAAAGAGTGCAGCCTCTTATGAATGTACACTAAAAATAAAATTGCGGAAAATCGCGAAACGTTAATAACTTCAGTGCAGTTGATCTACGACACTTTCAATACCAAGAGTTAAAATCCAGAAATCATATGATTTTTTTCTCCCCATTGAAAATGATGATGAAGAATTTTCTGTTAAATTTTAGCCTCCAAATAGTCAGTTCTCAACCGTTCGAAAACTGTTTTGAAATATTTAATCGACTGCAAACGCCGCCATTTTGAAAAAATAAAAACAAACCAGGCAACCTGGTCGCAAATACCAGTCCACATATTTAGCGCAATTTACATACAGCTGCTACCCTGTCCATTGTAAAAAGGAATAATCGTTTGGGTCATTAATATGCTTTTGGGTGGCCCATAATTGCTCAAGCGCATTGATAAGAGAAGAAAATCAAAATGACTTAAGTTACACCACAGATAAGTAGCAGGTTGCAAGGCAAGATTCAAAGTGGCGGCGTATGAAATCGAATTTGAAGACAATTTGCGATTGGGGCAGTTGACAAAATTTGACTCTCTTGTTTATAGATATTGAACCATGTACTTCGTTGTGTGTTCAGACTAGGAAGTAGGACAAAAGTCCTTTCGCTTCCGAACGTAAACATCACCGATGGTAAAACACACATTGTCAAAGTGGAAAGAGTGGGTAACTACGCCACACTACAGGTTGACTACGCGGGGAAGGTGGAAGGAAGTACGGGAGGAAGCAGCAACCTGATGAATTTTGGTGGCGGGGCTCTGTTTTCCGGTGGTACCCGCCGGCTGACCGCGATGCTTGTGATGCGAGCGATTGTGAAAAGCAACGGAAAGGCTATTGTGCAAACGGCAGACGGCGGCCTCATCTCGACTTTTACGTCCTTCTCAGGGTCTTTGTACGGAGTGAGTTTGATAACTATCGGAAAAAAGGGTGGTGTTACGGTCAAAATATTGAAGAATGCGACCCTTATTAGAATGTACCAGAAACACAGCATTCGATCTGTGTATAATTCAAGTGCAGGGAAAGTAGTTTTAGGAAACGCCGGTGTAAGTGTTTCCGAAATTCGAGTTAGTAACAGCAGCGCGCAAAGTGTTCATCGGATATTACAACGAAGAAATCAACAAAGTTCTGGAGATCCGAGAGCGAAGGCTGGTCCTGGTGCTAATGCGGTGGTCACTGGCGGCAAACTCAGTTCCGTGGCTGACTATGGATCGAGGCTGAAGCTGAGGCAGTCAACAGAAGGAAAGAGAAATAGGTCGGACGTCGATGAATCTTACGCAGGTTAGTATATTTACTAGGGTCATAGTAGAGACGTTTCCCCTCCCATTGGTCTTGGACTGCGTCATATGTACGATAACCACCCCCGTAAGGTGATTATACATTTACAGTAACTGGTCAAGAGCAATTTTCAAAATCAGTTAATGTGGTTGATACACGTTGGTCGCCATATACATCGGAATTGACACATATTGAGTCAAAAAATCTTTCATAATCTTTGTTTCACCGAGGGAATAACTGCAACCTCTTTTACGCTTTAAACCTGGTTTAACTTGAGTTTGCATGGTATACATCCACAAATTAAACTGAAAAAATATATCGAAGATAATAGAATAAAACAATGTTGTGTTCTTGCGCTGGTGAAGAACAGAGAAACAAGTTTGACTTCTCTCAAATTCGCTCGTAAAATTTTCACAGATTCGCTCTCTAAATTTATCTTATCCTTTGTGAACTCTTAGGTTGCATCCCACAAAATCGATTCAATGATATCGACGTAGACCATGAAGGAAGTCCAGTGACAGTCGAGCGGCAAAATGTTATATTTGGATGTCCTTGTGAAAAGGGAGACTGCGCCAATAACGGAACATGTTTAATAGATACCACTTCGCCCCTGGTGAATGTATGTAAATGCGCTGAGCCTTGGACTGGACTTCGATGTTATGAAATCGTAGAAGACCCTGGAGGTGGAAAAACTCAACGTGAGTATTTTTCATGTCTATTTTGTGAAACATAGATATAGAATAACTGATTCATCTCGACGAACAGGCGCACTAACTTACAGGGAAACCAAGAAGAAACGAGCGGTGGAGCAATTGAACAAGCATGTAGAAATGAACGAGCAAACCAAAAAAAAGAACAGCACATATTGAAGAAAGGAATTTTTAGATATAAACAGGTAGCTGGCCTCTATCATGAAGGAAGGAAATAATTAATTATCGTTGCATCTTAGAATGGGTGAAATGCATACCCAGTGCTAGCCTCCGGTTGAAAAGGTTTGGGTTCGAGCTCTGAGGGTTCATTACGTTTTACAGATACTTTGACGGTGAATTTCTCCTCTCAAGGATATTAAAAGGGAATAGTAAACTGTCGGTTGAAGAAGGGGGGAGGGGGGGGGGGTGGTTAGCCTGTAGCCTGTGTCACGCCATGGGTCAGTGGAGAAAAGGGAAAAAGGGGCCGGGAGATTGATAAGCATCCCATCAGTGGGATAGCAACTTTTTCAGCTATTCAATACGAGTGAAATTGGTGGTGTGGGGTCCCTTTGCTCGGGAGCAGACCTAATTTACTTTATCATTCACTACTTCAGCGAATACGCCTTCTCCGCCAGCGTGGAACTGGTTAGCCATATTAGCCGTTCTTCTCCTTCTCCTTATCGCACTGATCCTGCTTGGACTTTATCTACTGTGGAAAAGGTGTAGGGAAGATGCCACAGACGCAGGAACAGGACCAGCTAAGGCGGCAGTGGCTCCTACAGGACACGGGACAGTCAGGCCCTACTCTGCTGGGGCGGGGGAGATGGACAGTACTGACTATGATCTACGTCATTTGATGAAGTACATGTACACCGAGAAGGCTACAGGAAGCTCGGATCTTGAGCATGGCCATGAGCATGCCAATATTCGCGTGTACAGCGACGATGGTATCCGAGGGACAGACAACCTTCATTTTGACTTAAGGCAATTAACATCTCACAGGTAAGTTGTTGACGTTACAACATTGAAGGGAGACAATTGAACGATAATGAAAACGAGGATATGCGTCACAGCGGTTGGTCGGTCCCTCCGGAACTCAGAAATTTGTTCGTATAAAATTATTTGAAATATCGCATTTTAGGGAAGGCGAACGAAAAGTAAGATGGATAAGTGGGAAAGGTATTGAAGCGGTTTCGGATAGCGATGACAAACACTGCCTGTGTTCGGCGAAATCCTTTATTTTTTAACCATCACTCCTATTACCTGTGGCTCTCAATCCTTGCACATCGTTGTTTTTATCTCGTATCCACGACAAAAGTTGACTTTGTTCCCTTTTCAATAAGAGAGATACTTCAACAACCATATTCAAGACGACATATAAAATTATGACACTGGCCGCGTCTAGAGAAACCTTATCCTTCGAAAGTTGGTCGCCGTTTTCAATTCTGAACTGACTAAGTCTCCCTTCGTCTAACTCTTATAGCGAATTTTAAGGCAATTAGAGGCTGCACAAACGAGCTTTCAACTCAAATATTAGCCTTTTTTTCATAAAAAATTTGAACCACGCTTTCGGGTTTTCCATATGAGATCAGGTTACTGAGTTATTTCAAAATGATGGCGTGCACGATTGAATTGTTTTAGACAATTTTCGAGCTGTTTGGTCACTCATTCGGATCTCGAAAGTGATAAAGCGTGAATTCTTAAACACTTTTTTAACAACTAAGGTAACTGATCTCATTATTCCACTGCAGACATCACGTGATTCAAGGTGGGACGAACGTAAATGACACTCACCTAGGAATCGGTAACCAAGGCTTCCACGGTTCAATGCCCATGGTGACGTCACATCTTCATACAAAAATTACACGACACGTGGTACGCGCCGACAGTAATGTGTCGCTGTCACATGACGAAGTGAACTCCTTTGAAGACGAAGGAGACGATTCTGACGTGGATGACTTAAGCGAGATTGGCAGCGGGGACGACGCAGACTGGGACCTTCCGGAGGACTCTTGGGAGCATCATTTCGTACGACTTCGTGACGGAAACTAACCAATGGCATCTATCGACATAATGTTCATTTTTTTTTATCTGCATTAGATACATTTTGACCTGATTACAAGGTGGTTGACAAAACAGAAACGTGCGACACATCCTCGAAATGCGCAGCAGAATATCGGTCACATTGTGATTTGCTACAAGTTTTGTCCCTAATTCAGTGAACTGCTTCCTGGAAATAAACAATCCGGTCATTAATGATCAATCTCACATTTTTTTTCCGTCGAAAAATATTGTGGATTACAATAAAATCTTTGCTCGATTGATATATTTTGCTCATAAAATTCAATTGAATAATTGCGGTCTTGTTATTTACTTGCTGCGTCGCTTGACAATTTAGCATCTAATCAGCTTATACTGGATTAATTAGACAATTAATAAGTAGAATGTTCAGACTTGGAACTAGAAAAAGGCAGTCTAAGTCAGGAATGTAAAATTATCCAATTTCAATCGTATTAAGACGAAGTTTCCTCACTTAAGACCAGAAGCTCACCACATAATGGTCAACCGTGATGAGTATTATGTTGTTTATGAATCGATACATATTTCTGTTGCTGATGCATCGTAGGTGGTTATAGACACGATCTTAAAGGTTTACATTGGAAATGATTCAATTGTCACTTTTGCTGTAGCTTATGGGTAAAAGTTTTTCGCGAGCTGTCGGTGTCATCGCACATCCCGGGGTTAAAGCGCTCATAGAATTCGCAACCACATTCTTGATTTTTGTCGTGTTTTTTTCAAATAGGATAATCAGTACGGAATAATTTAGTACAGGTTTCTGCTGTCACCAGCAGCGCTGTCAGCACTAAAAAGAGATGCGATATCGTTGCAAAACTGAAAGCTCTAATGAGCATGAGCATGACTGATGTAACCAGTTACACGCAAAAATTTTGCAAAATAAACTTGACTTCTGCAGGTTGCTTACAGATCGACTTAATTTTGCTTCCACAGGCCTCAAGAGATAATGCGGAAACAGACAGAGAGGCTTCAGGCCCAGGTTTAGGGACATGTCAATTTTTTTTAAATTGACGTCCGCATGTTGACTTCTTTTTTGTTTCTTTTACTGATGCTTGAAGGGTTTTCTTCTTTGCTACTTATTTTTATATCGAAATTTCCCCTCTCCAAGCTTCTCGCTTTTGACAAAATATGGTCTTTTCCTAAGGGAAAAAAACATCTTAGTGATGTAGCGTGTAGTCTTGAACACTGACTTTGCTTCATAGTTCAATATTACACGCGACATTCCTCAGATAATGTCACTGAGCTGATCTGTCTTCAGTTCGACCAGGTTAGTACTGGTAAAAACCCGACAACTCCCCATATGAGGACAAACATTCATTATAAATGACTAATCTCTATCTGTTAAAATCAAACCATAGGAATCGTCTGATCCATTTTTTCTGTTTCAGGGAAAAAAGGGATGACAAAAGTAATGAATGCTGAAAGGTCCTTGTGGTTTGGGTTGTTTCGCGGGTCATGCTCTCCGCAAAAAGAACACAAAAAAATACGATTATGATGATAATGACAGCCTAAAAAAATGGAACCGCAAAGAATTGTTCATGGTTACTCTAGGAAAGAGTCACGGTATTATTATCTCCTAAAGCATTAGACAAGAAAAGAACCATTTCCAGCTGTTTTAACGGGTTAATAATGGCTTAAGGAAATGTGAAATATAATGGCAGTTTATCAAAATACCATTTAACTCCTCGAGAAAGCATTTGATGAATTATTTATAAATTCTTTGTTTACCTAAACACTTCAAAGCTATGTTAAGCAATCAGTCGTAACCAGTCTAATTTTAATCTTCTTTTGTCTCCTGTCTGCTCCGGGTCAAAATTTCCCTCCAGCAATTTCCAGTTGACGTTTCATTTTTCTTCGCTTTGACGCAGACAACGGATAATTTTTCAGCAACGGTTGGAGAACTTTCCTTGTTTGCCGAGAGCTGTCACTGCGTATGACGTCTTTTTTCACGAATTACGTCATAACTGACGATTTTAGATGTTTACAAATGGCATATTGAGCAAAGTTCATTCATCCGGATATCCTGTTTTATTTCGAGAAAGAACTTCCTTAGTTGAACTCATTTCATCCACGATTGAACCGTAGAACAATAAAAGCGCGAGGTAGACTATTTGACTTCAAAATCTGGCCAAATCAAACCAGGAGAGGTAAGAGGTAGATTTTTCTTCTAATTTTTTCAGTTTTAAACACAAATAATTGAGAACCGTTAAAATGAACATGCGCTTTGCATCCTCGATTTGTAAAGCCTCTCTTATATTATAATATCTTCTGCTCTGAACTGTAATTGACAGAGATGCGTGAAATTCACAGCCTCTCAACGTTTGTCGGTGATATCTGTTAAAAAAAGTATTAGTTACAAGATACGTAATCAATGTTGTGTTTCCTGTTTAATGACATTCGGACTTGATTTTAAATCTAGATAGCCATCAAGCTTGACTAGCGTGCTCACTTTCGTTCAGTCGCATGGCTATTAATTGTTCTCTAATTGTTAAATGTAACCAGCCGAAAACAAACAAAACTGTGTGAAGTTTGGGGAAGAAAATTCCGATTTAAGCGATGTTTGCAATTAATGACAAAGACAATTACGCAGACGAAGTATTCAGGGTCAAGTAAGGATTAATGAGGTTGAATACATGAAGCACACCGCGATTCCTGGAAATGCTAAGCAACCGAACAGTTGTTAAATTTGGACACAAATGAACACTTTTGAATTTCTGGAAAAATTGGGAAAAAAGGGAAAAATATTTGTCGTAATTCAGCAAGATTTATAGCATATGCACTCTTGGGGAGTGGCAATTGAATTGATCTTGGAGCCAACGACGAAACTGGGTTTTATAATAGTCAAGCTCGAAATAATTGTTTGTCAGGGTGAGCAAACAGTTAACAGGCTAGAAAAAGACAAGAATGAAACAGTGATCGTCATGAATGATAAATATTTACATGGATTGTAAATAACGAGTGACAGATGATTTTTTTTTTTGAGAAAGTTACAACTCCATCAAAAAGATATTCAGCGATAAAGAGAATCTTGATGCTCGATCACATCGATATATTGTCTCGTTAGAGAGGTTTAAAATACTTTAACAAAAAATATTATAATAAATGATTCATTTTTTTACCATACCATTAAATTCATAAGCTTCATATTCTATCACGCCTGTCCTGTCTGTTAAACTTCGAACTCATTAGCTTGCATGTCAAACCCAGCCAGACATAAATGTGTTTAGCTAGTGGCTGATACAAATTCAGTTTCCATGGTCACATATTACATGGCCGGAGACTGTACTTGACATCTATTAGACATGCTCCTTTCACTGACATAACGCCCACGACATTATAACAGCCCCTGCGCGAAACATAAATTCAGTAGCACTCAACTGACATAGGGCCAAGCCGTCGCATGGCAGTGTGTGAAATGAATTTTAAAATGTATGTTTGTCTACGTTAAAGGTGGCACACTTCGCTGTAAGTATTGAGTCCATTTTGATTGTATTGTATGGAACAAATACTAGTTTCCTAAGAAATTCAAATGCTGATCGTGTGGTTGTACACAGGATGAGGCAATTATAAGATTCAAGATACATCTGTTGCAAAGGCCATATAAGACCGTCGCAAAATAACAAGCATATTTCAAAATTTTTCAGGGTGGTCCAACTCTCCCTATTTTTAATTCGTAATTAGTATGTTTGCTTGCGTGTTTGTGGAACCCTCGTGAAGTCCTTCCAGATAAAAAACTCCATTTATTACCCGGATTACGGTTACGCAAAGCCAAAACGCAAACCTTGATCGTGCAACTAGGCATGAATTTTCCGATTTTAGCTAACTCTGTTTTTTTCTTGTCTAATATCCTAAATGGCTTAGAGACAAATTGAATTGAGTTATCTTCGTAAGATGGTTTCATGAGGATTAAATAGGAATTATAATTTAAGCAAAGAATTATGACGACTTCGAGTCGCAACAGACAGACTTCAACTGAAGTGGAGCAATTCGTCACAATGGTTTTGAAACACTCCGCGCAGACAGTGAAACAATCAGTCATGAAAAAGTAGCCACTTGAATTCCTACGGCAGTTCACTGATTGGAAAGCATCAGATACTCTTTCTCTTCCTTGCAAAGCAGTCTACGAGTTTTTTTGCGCAAGCTCAGAGTTAAAAAAAATATCTGTTTGCATGGCTCGAGTGAATTGTAAGTAAACCGACAGCGGGGAATGTCCTTAACGGAACGACTTATTTGGCTTTAGAAACCTATTTTTGCGTTCTGTATTTTTAAGTGTAATTCAAGCACGTTTCAGGGTGTATGGAACGTCATCATTTATTCCTTACAGCCGGCAGTGACCTGCTAATAAATTTTAGGAATTCCTTTTGCTAACACAACAATCTCCAATTAATTTCTTTAAATCCTCTAAAAGACGTTTAGAAATCTGAAAGAAGATTTCTTTTGTACAGATGTATTGTCGGCAGCTATTTAACTGAAAATCCAATAAACAATATTTACGTCTACTGGACTGAACGGTCTCGGTAAGTAGAACGGCTGAAATAATTGCGAGATTTTTCAGAGACAACGGAGACCTTTTTTTCCGGGGCGAGACGAGGAATAATACTACCCACTGAAAGAGTCATCCAAATGCTGACCGTATCTTAAACACGCCATTCTTCACACTTCTTTTCAGAGCTTGCCTTGGAAAATTGTACTTGGTCTGCGAATCCATTGCGCTTTGTTTTTTTTTGGTAAATCTTCGACGCTGAACTCTCAAATCTGTAAATTAACACCGAAAATTCAGCTGGAATGGTTCCCTCATTTATTTGGGGTTGGAAAAGGCAGATAGTTTTCTCGAAAACCACGCACGACTTTAGAACGCAATGTTTAAAATCTAAACTTCCTATTTTGTACCGAAACAGCTCAAACCATACCTTTTAGAGGGATACATACTTGTATAGCACACATTGAGAAGTGTTCCCCCTGCTCCATCTGAGGGCTAAACAAGGATATTCAATCTCACTGTACAAGTTCCTTTAATACCAAGTAATGCTAAAATCTTATTGGATTAGCGCCTCTTACGCTATCAGCCTACTATAATACCATTTCGATACTGAGGGGTAATGATAAGCTCTTATCATCTAAAAACCTAGTTGGTTTTTAATTTTTGTTGTTTTTGTTTTTTATTTCAATTTAGTATGTTCTTAATCGATACATAAGGGTTGTCTCTTTGACACGCTAATTAACAATATCATTCCATGTTGCCGCGTGTCTGTTCGATAATAGGTCAGATGACTTCAAAATGTGCTAAGAACAGAAAAGAGGCACGCGAGGCGCGGTTGGAGTCATTATTTGTTCTCTATTATGAGAAAAGCGTTAATGTTGTCAGTGTTAACGTCATCTATGCGTCAGTCCTCCAAGGTCCTCCAATAAATTATACGTAAGAACCAATCAAATTGCGTTCATAGTTTAGCTTATCATATAATTGTAAATCGAAGTAGAAGTATATTCCTACCGTCACATGTTGGTGCAAATTATTATCAAAACTACGGTTGCACTAAGAAATTCCTATCTGGATGTGCAACTCCCAGACTGAAGAAATAAACGGTTACAAATACTGATTTTCACAAGCCACAAAAACACACGAAGAAACGGTTTGAACGGTAAAAAACAGAGTATCATATGGAAAGATAATTAGTTATCTTTTCTTTGCTTTTTTGTCGCGTCACTAGCTATTTTCGAGCAAAACCCTTAAATTACACACGCAGGGCACACCTAGTTCCGGTTGCAAAGACTGAGCTTAGTGAATCGATTAGATTTATCATTAAAACTACATGAGCATCCTTTTGCCATTCACAATGATTTCCGACTATTGAAAGAACAATAGAAACGCAATTTGATATTTGAAGAATGTCCTTTTGCAGAAAGCTTTCAAAAGAGTTATCACATTTGTTCAAAATTTTGAAAAGCTGTCTTTCTTTCTGATGTAATCATTAGTGTAATTTCCTTTTTAGAGAGCAGTTCTGAATTGCTCTGGTCTGTTCTTGTGCATCGGTGGTTTAAAGCTTTTTTAAGGGTTAAAAATGGCGCTTGAGTGGACTCCATTCAGGTGGAGGTCGATTTTTCCTTTTCATAGTTATTGAAGTATTGTACTTTTTATTGTAGACTGTTCAATTTACACGTCTGCTCGCATACATGTTGCTGCTACTAAGCAGCTCTTTATTTGGTCCATACGTACTTCTGCGTTGTAAACGGACCAAACCGTTTTTCTTTAGATGAAGTTTATGAATAAGTTTTTAAGTTCTGTTTCAATCGGTCGCGCAAAACGTTATGACCCTTGACACGTGGCAGCCAAGTGGAGTACCCAAAGATAGAGAACTTCCTCCTTTGTACATCCAGCTTCGCGGTGAGGATGATTTTAGACGTGCCAAAATAAAACTCTTAAAGGTTACTGTGTGATAAGGGTGCAATCATTTCACGCCGCAAGGAAGTCTGCAGGGTTTGATTTCTCAAGGACAAACTGCTTACAAGTACGTTCATGTAGTACACTTTGTGAACATGTCGTAAAGCAAAGAGGTGTTAACTTCACTATGTCTCGTTTTTAAAAACAGGTTCATAAAAAATTCCTTATTTCTCTTCGGGTCGCACTAAATATAACAGTGCTTTCCAACTCGATCTAAATCCATTTATTATTTAACACCTGAAGAAATTACGGATATAGCGCCTCAGAAGTCAATGAGTATGAAGCAAGCTGAAGTATTCAGGATTTCAGGATTATGAGGAGCCCACGATGGGCTCCCGGGATTATTTATCTTCTGGCTATATCTATCCAGAAATAATTATCTGTGAGAAAGGAAAACTAAGATACAGAGGATAGCGAACTTAAAAAATTTGCTGCTAATTTTACACGGAGTCCAAATCATTATGTAGCCCTTCTAACTGCATAATTTGCGTGAAGAATTCAAGGCGAAGACTGTGTTGAGTCACGTTGTGGTTTTTGTACACAATTGTTCGAATTCAGGGACGGAAGGAAGCTCCTGGTGCTGTAACACATCAGATGGCCTGGAGACTTCTAAGAAAGTTGAGATTAGAGGCGCTTAAAAGTGCTAATATGCTTGTATTTCAGTCAGACTTAATCGTTTCATCAAAACTTAGCAAAAGTAAAATGAAAGACCCCCACAGATCTAACTGATGGCTTGACTCTAGAAGTGACAGAAATTTGATTATGTTATAGATTTCATATTCGACAAACAAGTGTTTTCCAACTCTTAAAATGCATGGTGTAAATCAATTGATTAAAACTGCAATATTATCTTGCAATTAATTAGGCGTCTTTTCCTGATTTCTGATAATGCTTTGTTTAATCATTATTGTGATCAAGTAGATCAAATAATCCGACTTTAGTCGAATGTCAGCTCAAATCCGGAAGTCAGTCCTTTTCCCTTTCATAGGAAATTAGATATTTATAGAAAGCGATCTGTTTTTATTTCTTAATTTCAAAGTCACCGCTTTGTAAAACAAATGACCGGATACCTACAGCGGCCCATTAACGAAAGTTCAAGAACTCTAAAAGATAACCATTATTTTGTACAAAGAGGGGCAATATCATGCAAGATCATTATTTCTGACAGTTTTAACCCAGACAGTGATAAATCATTGAGCGACCTCAAGAAATAATCACAGGTTTTAAGATTCAAATTACCTACAAGAATTCCATTGTTTTCAACTTTGAGCAATAGGAGCTCCTGAAGAGAAATGCCTTGGGGTTCCGGTTTCTGGAAAGTTTGAACCGTGCGGTTATCAGGACTTTCAAGAAACTTGCCCCCAACACATTGGCTTGTATTGGCTTGTCCTACGCTGTAGAGAACATTCAGCTGACGAGACTTCGAGAATTCTTTGGGTTGACTTCTGACAGCAGAGGACTGAGCGATCAGGAGATTCCAAAACCATCGCGAAAAAAAAAAAAAAAGAAAGAAAAGAAACGAGGAGTTAATGTGAGCCATAAAAGATTCCATGAAATCTTTTTCGTGTGACGTCATGTTAGCCTATTATTTGAAGAAGCTTCTTAAGATTCTGTAAATTGATTCAATAACCAAAATGATGGCTACTGATCAAAACTTTCTTGAAAAAATTCAATGCCAGGCTATCTTTGTTCAGAATCTTTAGGTCTTGTTATTTTGAAAGTCATAGCAACCTTTATCAGGAGCTGCGCTTTTGTCGTGTAACTTTGAAAACAAATGTCAATCGACACGCAAATTAGCCTCTCACCAGATTACCTTAAACCCAAGGGTATAATGTGTAAGGGATACGTACATTCATTTTTCAATCGTATTCACAACGCATGCAAATCAGACGGACATTTCAACAAACAAAAGTATTTGAAGCATTCTAACTCGAAAGGTAAACAGCAAAACAGTCTCAAAAACAAGATTGATTAATTATTAAATTTTTATGCCACTCGAGAAGTTACGTAATGAAGCAATTTTGTGATCTGAAAGGATGAAAAAAATCGCACTGCATACCAGAATCTATTGTTGTGGTAACGCTTTGAAATAAACGTAATTACACATATTGTGCTTTTCATGGAAAACAAAATGAACTGATGCTTTCTGAGCATGTGTTGGTAAACTTTGGTTACGTAGCATTTGTTCATTCGTGTGTTACCATGGCGATTTGTTTACATACGGGGGTATTTCACGTGAAATATTAGCTGATTGATAGGTTATCATTTGTCTGTGACCTCATTTGTTGTCATTCAAATTAGCAGCCTGTCAATTTTCTGCGGTCTGTTGGAGGGAAATCAGCTCGCGCACCACAACTCACAACAGGTATTCGGCTTTTCGACGGCTCTCACTTCACCGTGAATAATTCGCCCCTGCAGATATTTTTACAATGTAGTCTTGCGTCGGCTTAGAAGCCTTATAAGCGCCACTAAGATGTTGGCTCTCGTTGATGAAGCTATCAATTCACTAGAAGATCAATTTGGATCAGGTTCAAACCAGGTGACAATTACTTTTTTATTTCATCAGCGCGTTACTATTAATGTCAACAACAGCTCTCTCATTGCTCATGGGAGGCCTTAAAGTGTTTTTAGCTCTCTAGAACTAATCGATTCAACTATGACGCTCAGATTCTCACCTTTAAGAAACAATACGCAGTCTAAGTCGTGTCTGTAATCGGACCTGCAGCCAACTTTAGTTTGACCTTCGTTACTCATGAGCAAAGATTACGACGAAAATCAAATCATCTAAATTGAGCTCTAAATTCCACTCTGACTGCCCAATTTTAAGGAAATGGGTATATAGAATCACTGCACCCATAACGATTATATTTTGTTACGCCTCTACCCACAGCGATATGATTCGTAATGGACTGCTCTAATTTGCAGCGATAGAAATTTACCCATTTCAAAGATTTCAACGGAGAAGTCAGAACTTGGGATATCAGTTCATTTCGATCGCTATGTACAGATCACATGTAGAATGGATTGTTGTTCTTGTAGACTATTGTTGGATTTGCAGTAAAAATTGCTAATTATTACTCGAAATTTTCAGAATTTAATTAGTCTTATCAAACTGCCATTTTGCTGTCTACTTACAGATGTCACTAGATGCTCAGCAACGCATTGTGGGATAGTTTTTCCCGGCTATGCTAAGAAGCAGAGATCAGAACGCTAATGGGGTGACACAGGGAGGAGTGAGGAAAATATCCGCGTCCAGAAAATTTCACGAGAGTCGTAAGATCGAGCCAACGGATAACCCTCGAATGGCGAACAGGCATCTTAACGGGAACGCTAAACATGACATGCTGAACGGCCAGGTGCAGAAAAGATCTACAACTTCTTTGGACCCACATAGTTTCGTCGAAGCCGCGACGTTGCTTGGTAGTGTGGGGTCTCTCAAGGCAGCTGAGACAACTGAAAGAGTTCGACGAGGGAGCACATCGTACGAAGAGGATGTGTACAAAGGCCACCCTTTCCCGTTTGAGAATTTGGTGTTTGAAGGCGGTGGAAATAAAGGAATGGCTTATGTTGGGGCTCTGCAGGTATTTTTTTAAAATTTTTTAGGCTTAAATTTTGTCGTTCTGCTCTTTGTTTTGACTTGTGATGATCACGGATTCCTTCGCTACCGTGTTTTGATCAGCACATTTCTCAACTGTTTTCTTTTCACCAAGTTACTGAGCTTTCGCTTCCGGGGTTGTGTTATTCCGATATTTATTGTTAGTTTGTGTTTGTTAGGCACAAGTTTTCTACAGTCAAAATCTTCACTGACTTGTGTACGTAAGTGATTGTGAATTCCTTTGCATATGTCAGGCCAATGTTAGATTCTCTTTGGCCCTCTAAACACCCTTCCTGTTCAAATTACGCTCTCAAACTAAGGCTTTGGTATTGAAGAACACGTCGATTAACAGAGTGAAGCTAACGATTTCAAGTTGTGACTTCTAGATGGAAGTTCTTGAAATTTCGCGGCGAGATTTGACGTAATCTTATTCTTCAGGCGTAATATATTACAGTGATATTTACTCTTCCGCAGAAAGTACATTGATATTCTTTGACGTTTTAAGAAAATCAAACTGCTCCAAGAATAATCAGCAATCTGGATGTGTAATGTTAATTCCGTCGAAGAGAAACTAGTCTGTAATGCAAGAGATCGAGGTAGTTGAAGATGCCCACGCGTAAATTTTACACGCAGTCAAACTGTTCTTTGTTTAACATAAATATTTAACGATGGGATTGTGCGCGAGGGCGAACATTTTTACTTGACGAAAGAGATAATCTGAACTTGTTATGGTTTAGTGTTAATATTTTCCTTAAATCGGACCGACACAATAACATGTTTTAAAGATCATTAACTATTTAATGGCTTATTAGGGATTTTTTTTTTGTATTTTTAAAATGTATTATTCGTGAAAATATTGAACAAGTTTCCTAACATAATATAAGCGTGAAATTTACTTAAAAATACGGGTCAGGATTTGATATATCTAGACATTTTGTGTAATGGTACTTGAAGTAACTTTTTTGTGGTAATTTTTATAAATACTACATTATTTTTGATTTCATTTGAAATGTTTTTCAGCGCGACTCGTTGAAAATGCATATCATTAAGATTCAGTCTCCTAGTGAGATGTTTGTTATCTTATTAGTTACGTGTAGGTTGGCGCGATATGGAATATATTCCGCAGCAAATCTTTTAGTTAGTTGGAAATGAGTTACATCAAATGAATCAATTGCCTTTGGGATCTATTCCTTTTGTTGTCAAAGTTGAAAAAGCCAAAAATCAAGTTATGCATCACCAATGTGCTTTTGAAATACAGGTGTTAGAGATGTCTGGTGCCACTTGCAAATTTGTCTGCATATTGCATTAAACGCGCAATACTTAGTGTTCTCCCTTGTTTCAACCATGATAGGCATGATAAATTTTCAGACCAGTACAGTAATCCTTTTACCAGTTGAATTTTGAAGAATTTTAAACGCTGCATACATTCTTTCAATTTTTTTTCTCTATTTTTTTAATTTGACACTTTTCTCTCTAACATGTGGGTGTTCATGGTTTGAAATTCTTTGCTTTATATTCTAACATGGCCATTTCCTTTCCTTTAATTATTTCCTGCTCCTTTGTGCTATAATTTCTTTGCCAAGCATCATGTGTCATTGGGTGCACAGCATTAATCAGAAATGACTGGTGAGAGTTTTGCAATGATTGCTCTATACAAGAATAGTGGATACAGATTTAGGACTAGTCTCTAACATAGCTTTTCGGATTTTTCCTTGATTTTATCATTGTTTCAATTTCCTCTTTTATAGTTAAGAACACTGATGGTTTGATTCTAATCCAATTATGTGTTTTGAACTAGAAGTTTCTCTTTCACTTTAATCCTAGTGTAACCTTATTCCTCTTCTACAGGTTTGCAGAAAGAAAATTCTTTCTGCTCTCTAATCTCAGATATCGTCTTAGAATCTTTTTTTTTTCCAGAAAGTCAATCAAAGTTGTTTTCATGGTTTAAGCAATTCTAAAAGGGTTGAAAAGGGTTGACATTTTTTAATTATTTTTGAATTATTGATTAGTTAAAGCTACATTTTGCATAAAATCAGTTACCATAAATGCTTCAAAACTTTGTTCAGGTTTAGAATAAATTAAAACCTATTGTAGGCCAAAACCTTAAGATTTCTATGCTGTATGGTTGGGTCATACAGGCAATTTCAAGGGGCATGTAACTTCTATTGCTTCTCCTTAGTTCTGTTGCAGCAAGTGGTAAGGAGTAAGTCTGTTCCTCATAAATGGGACACTTGTCAATCACAGATTACCTCCTGCATTTTGTCAGGTTTCCATGACAGGTTGCAGATACCCAGTCCTGGACAGAGTGAGGCTTTGTGGGTGTAAAAGTTGTCTCCTATGGTAGAAAACACAACACAATGACTTGGAAAGAGCTCAACCTTTAACCCCTCAGTCTAGAGTCTTCCATGTTAAACATCCAGCCTTTGTGTCTCGCACTCTTATCCAGATTAAACTGTTAACAAAGTCACCTTTCCTAGCAGCTCATACAGTACTGTCCTGTAGATAGCCTTTTCACTTATAAATGGGAGTTTTCCCTCTCAGGGGGCTAGTTGTGACCATTGCTCATTAGAAGGCATAAAAAATGTGAAATAGTGTACTATTCTGAGACCAGAAAAACTGTCATGTTTAACAATGGATTGTTACTAATTAACAGGTGCTAGAAAATGCCGGAATCATGAAGAATGTTAAACGTGTAGCTGGAGCAAGTGCTGGGGCAATCATTGCAACTCTTATAGCTCTTGGCTATGACTCCAGTGAGTTAAGGGAATTTCTGGAACAAGATCTTCGCAGGATCTTAGTTGGTGAGCTTCAGAGTCCATTTTCATTTGATCATGTAGTTCAGAACTAGCAAGAGTATTGATATTGCAGTGATTAGAACACTCACCTGGCAGTACACTTGGGATTGTATAAATTTGGAGTCCTCTCCCCTGATGATGGTCTTCACAATTTCTTTCATTTATCAGAAAGAGGAGAAACCTTTTGTTTTTCAATCATGCTTCAAACTGATGCATGTTTGTGGTAAAAATATGTGTATATGAAGATTTTGAATTTAATGCAACATTTTTTTTAAGCAAAGTGCAAGCCATTGAATTGAAAATTCTTTACCATGTTCTGATACTGAAACAAAAGTTGCTTATAACAATTCAGTGACAATGAAGGACTCTAACAAAATTTCCAGAAAAAGAGAGGAGATATTTTTATCCTTCAACCTTGGTTTTCAACTATATTTTAATTAATGTAACTTTTTTCTGCCAACAGATCACACTTGTGGATATTGCAGTCTTCTTCCAAACTTACTGAAAGGTTTTGGTTGGAATCCTGGCAAGAGAATGTTACGATGGTTTGGTGAACAACTTAAAGAGAGAACTGGCGATGGGGACATCACTTTTAAGGAAGTAAGTTGCAGCAACAATTTGCTAATCAAGATGTTTAGGTTTATTTTGCTGTGTAAATGATCTTTGATTTACAGCAAAAGCTGGACAATTATTTCAAAAGTGTAATTTATGGAAACTTAAATGAGTTGTTTGTACTTATGTATTTATTTTCGGGAGGAAAGGTGATTTTCTTTCTTTTGATTTATCACATTTAGAGTTCATGTATGAGAAAGGTTTGAAGGGAAGCTTTGCATTTAATTAATTAATCTTCATTATTCTTCTAGGTGTGGGAAAGATTTGGCAAGGAGCTTTGCATAGTTGTTACGAATCTAAATCAGATGTCAGTGGAATATTTTCACCCAAAGACCACGCCAAATACACCAATCAGAAGAGCTGTCAGAATGTCAGTTGCACTTCCAGGTGAGACTAGAAAGAGGATAGCAAAGGGGGGGCCTCGTACTGTTTCATGCATAAGTTTTAGAAAATTAACATGTTGAGTGTACTCAAGGTTACTTCCTACCTTCGCGGGTGTCCTTCGGGAAAAAATTTGTACGCGCGCTAGTTTCACTTAAATCCTAGCAAACTATATATCAGAAGAAAGCTCAATAAATGCAGTTTACGATAGAAATGTAATTTAACCGAGTTTTCCTTTAAGGAAGTGTCGGGAGCCGGTAAGGTGTGAAACGACCGAGGGTTCCTCTATTGAATTTATCGGGTATCGGATGCCGCAGCACATGCAAAATGGCTGCATCTAAATCTGGAGTAGCCAAAAATATGCGAGGCGTGTTGCGTAAATGGACGCCACAAGACAAATATTTCGAATATCAAAATTTCCCGACACACTTTCGTTTGTTATTATGCCTGGGAATGTTTTGGCGAAATCTGACGAAAATCGGTCATATCTCTATACCCTACAAATTCACTCAAAGTGGATGTATTCCTCCCAGAATCATATGCGAGATTTTAGCTCACAAAGGTTAGTGGACAACTCACGCCACGCCAGGAGATTATGTGGCCTCCTGAAACCGCAAACTTATGGGACAACGGGACCTTCTGGCGTCAATGACGGTGGATCAAGATTTCCTGGGAAAGTAGCCCATTTCAGACACGTTTTTTAATCTTGATCGTTCAGTAGAGCGTTGAAAAGGATGACACAATAATGGAAAGTTGCTAATGGAAAAGGAAAACCCCGCGGCAAAAATGGAAAAAACGGAAAATGTGCTGAGAAGCAAGACAAAGAATCGTCACTCAGCTTTCACAATTACAGTTTGAGGCGATTGTCAATGATTTTGTATCATGGCTGGTACTTGTAAAAATAAAAGGAAACCTGGTTTTTAACTTTATGTATGACAGATTTTGGTTTTACGGCGACTTCTTTGTTCGAAATCTGGACGCCAGCACGGAGCTCCGCCAGTACCAGTCGCTCTCATAAAGGATTGTTTTCCTTTTCTTGACGGAATGGTTCTCTTTCCTTATCCTTTGGGCCCTTTTTTTTTCTTTTTTTACCAAGGACTTTCTTCCGCTTTTGATTTTTCCGTGGGCAAATATTTTCCCAAAAGCAAAGAGCTTCCACGTGTGAATTTTGTCAAATGCGCGATGTAAACAAAATATGCAAATAACATGAAAAACGAGGCCCAAGATGAGCCTCCCCCAGGGGATTCGCTCATGAACGAGACTACGACACCTTCCTGATTTATTAACTCTCGTTTGAAAATACGTTTTTCTAATTAACTCGGGTGTTTTAAAGATTTCTGAATTTTTTTTACGAAAACGTAAGGTAAAATGTTTGAATTCAGTTTAATCCAATAAAAGAAAAAACTATTTTTTTCGGCTCTGGAAATAACCTCAAAAAATTATTTCATGCGTCACAAATTTAAAAGGGAAAACTTCAAATCTCCCCTTACCCTGCCTTTCTGTAGCATTCATATGTTATATGTTAATTTAGGGCTTAATCAAATGTCACTCATAATATCTTTGCTGCCTTCTAGAAATTTTATTTACAGTGCATCACATGCACATGTCATGGTTTTGGATCAGTCATAACTTATCACACAAATGTGACAGCACCTGTCCTTAGATGTGGTAAGGATTTGTCCTTCCAAAAGGAACAACTGAAAGTTTTTCCCTTGTTCTGCTTTGTCTGAGCAAAATGGTCACAAGATGAAGTTAATTACTAATGATTGAAGTTGAGGTTGCAACATGTCTTAAAGCTTTTTGCTTGCATTGTAGGAGTGTTCCAGTGTGTTCGTGAAATAAACAATGATTATGAAGACGTCTATGTTGATGGAGGACTTCTGTGTAACTACCCAATCCATGCATTTGATGGTATGTATTAGAGGAAGGTGGTAGGTTTTATCACCCAGATAATAGCAGCATGTATGTTAGTCAACATGTATGTCTGAGACTTTGCCTGCCCTTGTATCAAGTGGCCCATCCAGCCAGAATATCGCAATACCCCTTGTACATGTATAAAGTAACAAGGAGTATTGTTACTCCACCAGATGGGATTCTAATCCATTGTAAGTCACCCTTCAGCATTTCATCAGGCTCCACTAGTTTACTTGGTATCCATGATTAGATCCTCTCCCCCCCCCCTCCTTTTTTTCTCTTTGAAGGATTTTTAGGAGGTCTTGGAATACCCCCACAAACCCCCAACCACACCTCAACCCCCCTCCCCCTCAAACCTCATATTTCCTATATACAATTTACCAGTAATTCTTGGGAGTAGAGAAGCACTGGGACTGGTTAAGGCTCATACCCAATCCTCTGACTGGATTGGATAGAGGAAACCCTTTACCTCTTTTTAACCTGGAGCACTACCTAGTAATTGCTCGACCTTTTCTTTTAAACATTTCTATTGCTATTCGTTCTCAATAATGTTAAAATTTCCCCTCTCCCTTCGTGCTCAGGTTGGTGGCTTTCCATGGACCCTAAAGACACTTTTTTCAAGAAGCTTCAACCTCTGGAGGATTTTGCAAAACTCTTTGAAAAGTCCGAGAGGTTTGGGAGTTGGAACCAGAAAACATTAGGAATAGTCCTGGTAAGTGAACAGGAAACTTCGCAAATTTGCGAAACCTAACGGCAGATCTATATTTACATTATGTTCACACTACAGGGCAATTTTCAATTGAATTTCAATGGCATTTCTTATTTGTGCCCTTCCTGGTGCCCGTTGATAATAGCAATTCATGAGACCAAATTTGAGATAGAGGAAGAAAACAAAATTGAAAATGGTGATGAAACTGCCTTTGAGACCCCTATTATTTTCGGCTTTTAAATGATCGGCTGGACAATTTTCACAAATTGTGAAAACTTTTGAAGATTCCACCGAGAAAATTGAAGAAAATCAAAGGCAAAGCCAAGTTATCACTGGCGAGCGCCTCCCTTTGTGGAGCCTTAGCTTGATAACGATAATCATTTTGATAATATTTACTACAGCAAACAATAGTCCGAACCTTGCTCATTGCCTTTTGACGGTTTTTAGTGACCTTAGAAAGAGGAAACATAAACATTTTCTTGAAAAACATTACGCTAGCGCGCGTGCCAACGTTGGGCAAAAACCCTTTAGAGCCTCCTTAAACACACTCTATCAAAATACATTCTTAAATGTATCTTGTCTTACATCTTAAAATTTGCCTTTTATCAATTTGTTTTTCAGTATTCTCATACAGAGACCGAGTTGATGAAGACATTGCTCACAGAGCGAGAAGGAAACAAGCCTCCGAAACCACCTGTCACCAAACTTGCGAAGTAAGCTAACTACACAATCATGTAGCTTTTCTTTTCTACAACTTACACTTAACGAAAAAATCTTGTGCCATCTTCTCAGCAATTTAGTCACAACCATCAACCAATTTCTGAGCTCAACCTGCTGCTTCGTAGCTAAGCCTAGAAGTCGCGCACATCTAGTAGGCGTCGGTTCGAATCCCGTTGAACCCTGGAGTTTTCAAGCTTTCCTTTCGGTAATTTTGTTAAATTACGGTTCACCTGCGAAGACCATTTTGTTGCTTTTTAATGAATATATTTGTTTTGTTTTTTCTTTTTTTTCACTTTTCTTCGTCTCCTTTTGAATATGTCTTTCATCTGATCTTCGGTAGTGTTTGCTTGCGAGCAGGCCCTCATTCTTCACGCTTCGGGACGAGTGTTTCTTCGCCCGAAGGAAAGTATGAGGCTTTTAGCAACGCGAGTCGATGGGAGGCCTGCTGGGGATCTAGCACTGAAAATAAAGCCAGATCCTCGGCAAAAAACTTGCCGACTCGTCTCAACTCTTCCCGTGGGCGGAGAAACGCGCGTCCTGCAGTGCTGATATTGAGAACTTACTCGTATTCTACTGTTGTGTTAACTTTGTTTTGACATTACAACACTTTCCTGCGGTTACATGTGGCTAAACTTTTGTTCATAAAATCCTGTATACATTCATGGAAGGATTCTTTGTGACCCCAGCTTTAGGCTGAGAAACGAGTAAACTGATTAGAGAACTCATAAGTGATACACGACCTGACAACTTTTTTTTTTTTTGCAGGCAAAGGCTGAAATTACAGCATCAACAGGCCATTATGCACCAGGAACACGCCACAATGGTCAAAGCTGTTGGCAGATTCATGGCGGTGCGTATCTTTTCCAAATTGTAATTTGAAATAAATCGAATATTCCTCGTTGCAACCTCTGTATGTTTACTGCGTGTAGAAATAATTTTCATGCGATTCTTATTTTACAGGAATTACAAAGAAACAATTTAGACGAAGACAGCATTATCAATTTAAAGGAACTGAGAGGAGTCTTCAAGAACGTAAGTTACATGTAATTAGAAATTCTACATCCACTAAGGTTTCCTTCGCATTTTCCGGATACATTTCTGTAACTCGACAATTATAATTCCAAAGGAAACTCTCGTACTGTTACTACTACTGTGTTACTATTATCAAAAATGGCGAAAAATGGCGCTGTTTACTTAAAAAATGAGCTAGTAAATCACCTGGTTGGTTGATATAGGTGAGATAACCAACCAGTCATTTTTCTTACCCTCTGATGCAGCACAGCAGTGTATTTAGAAACTGATAACCTAGTGAATCACCGGCTTAATTATTTTATGCAAAAACTCATCCGCGCAAGCTCGTTAACGGTTTCAAACGCATTTTTTCTTTAAATGCAGCCTTTGGAGTTCACCAGAGAAGATGCAGAGTTGTTATTTGGAACAGACGCCGATTACAAAGCCGCCTTTGAAGAACTGGACACGGACGAAGACGGCGAGGTTAGAAATGCTTTCTGTTTCATGTGCCTTGGAGAAATCTTAACCCTTTACACCATAACGTTGATATTCATTTTCTCCATGCTGTTCGCTTTACATTTCTCGTGGTACTGACAAGGAGAATTTGTTGGACAATCAAGAGGTTCTTTAGTTGTTGTATTGTCGCGACCTTAATGTTTGATTCAGCGGTGATAATGTAAGGAGAAATTAGGTCCTAGTCTCTCTCAGGAGTCAAAGGGTTAAGTTGCAGATTAAACAACTTGGTGAGAGGTCGCTTGTATTTACGTCTCTAACAACCGAGACATACAAGTACGAAACTAATAAATAAGTTACCAAACAGCATTTCATCAAGCCTCCCTGGCAATTTCTCGGTACCCAATTATACTTCTGAGTGGAGAGAGACACTTGGAAAGTAAGGATTATTGCCTACGAATACAACACAATGACCCGGCCAGGGGTCTTGAACCCAGAATTTTTACCATGCCATAGAGATTTCAATGGCAAACACAATCAGTGCGATACATGAGCTTTCATTTCAATTGGCTTTTAATAAGCTTTTTGTGGTCTACGATCTTGATAACGTTTTCAAAACAATTTTGAAGTGTCGATGAGTTAAAATTCATGAAAAAGACTAAATAAAGGTATAAAAACATAAAAACGTTCGTAAGAAGCTGGAAATGTCAGCGATCCTAGTCTCGGCGGGGATAAGATCGCAACACACTGTGGGAAGGTTAGGTGTAACGAAATACCGCTAGATACACGACAGTTTTTTTTTTGCAATGTGATTGGCTGTTTTTTTCCATTGCATGGCTTCTAAATGGGCATAGACTGACTTTGGACGTGCTTTTGTGGAATTAATGGAAAGTGTTACAGTAGTAGTTGTCGTTTTCAGCGAAATACACGGTAGTACTAAATAGTAGTCGCTTTTATTTCCGATGTGTTTTACGACGTATATAATTCACAATCAGTGGACTCAGTATGGTTAACTTTTTTTACAGATCACTTTTCAAGAATTAATGGCATTTATCGAAAAAAAGGGAGTAAATCTACAAACAAGATTCTTGGGTTATGCTAGAAAGGATATCAAACACTTAGGAGAGTTTATACAGACGTTGCAGGTTAGAAAGTGATTGTTTTTTAATTTTGCACCCCTCGTACGTCCTCGTCCACTGCCACTAGGTTTTTATTTTATACTTTGATTCTGATTTTACCAAAATCTTACTTAATAAATTTTCCTTATTCTGCTCTTCAGACTGCGTTATCAGTGAATGTGAAAAGAGTCTATGTAGAGGTGAGCGACGATCATTTTTAATCGCTACGTAGATCATTTGATAGTATTTTTATAATTTTGAATTGAAAACACGTTTATATTTTGTGTTTCTTCCTTTGTCTTTCAGAAAAAAGACGTGGAAAGAACTATTGGTATCGACACGGACTACATCGAGACGAACGACTTTAACCTAGAACAAGCTGACAAATGGTTCCTCATCGAAGTAAGGCATCAATCCTATTTCGTTCTTGGACCAGATATTCGTCCTTTTTATCTTTAAAACAAATCTATTTTTGTCATAGCAACTTTTCGATTGAGTGTAGAAAACTCTCGCCATTTTCTCAACCAATCAAATCGAAGGCTGATAAACCAATCCCAACTTGGTCACTCGCGTTTTCCCGCGCTTTAGGCAGGTTGCCTGTTTTTACTATGAGTTCTCATCGGTTAATGATGATGTTAACCTTTGTTCCGATTGGTAGTTGTGATTAAGTCGATTTTTCTTTTCTGACACTTAGTTAAAATTGCTATGTGGCAAAATCAACATTGAAACCGAGTCAGTGCAGCTATTTCATCTATAGAATGTGGGGTTTGCACACTTTGCTTTGCCTAACTGGCTCTGCTTAATTGAGTGACTAATCTAACTTTTTACATCTTTCTCTAGTCTGGTAGAAGAGCAACGAAAGCGTTTCTGAGGGAGTACACACTACGCGGTGTTAGGGAGAAAGAGAAGCAGAACATTCGAAGAATTTCTAACCAAAAATCCAGCGTCACAGTGCAGGTCAGATGCGCTAATGATTCACCGGACACACATGACAAGCCACGTGATCGTACAGACTCAACAAATTCAACCATCGACAAACAACGACGGTCGGTGTCTTCGGTAGCATCTTTAGAGACGAACTTTACCACGGAGGGTGCTCGAAAAGGCTCGGGTGTTCGGTTACCTCCGCTGTCACACGAGAAGGGGGGGCGATCGTGGGTAAACCCTCCTTCGAGTGAAAGATTAGGATCTGGTGATAGCGTAACTAGCACGCGAAAAGTTGACGTGGACGTGGGACGAAGTCCGAGGATCGGCGGCCGAGTTACAGCCAAAGTCGGTGATTTAAGTGGTAGTTAGTTTTATTTATTGCGTTTTAAAGGCTGTTTGACCAAGTTGAGGAACAGCTTCGGTAAACGTTTATGACGCGATCGTAGTTTCGCCGCATTGGCGACGCAGGTAAATAAGGTGTTACAAAGAAAATTCAATATTCTTCTTTGCATCAACGATTTTTCATGCAATGTTTGCTGCAATTTATGCAGCGAATTTACATTTAGAAGTCACTCCTACAAGTAAGTTAGAGGTTTTTTATTCAACATATGCAGCTTTGCCTCTGAAAGTTATGGAGGAGTGAAATGCGTCACATCACAGGCAGCCCAAGCTCTAGCTCTGAGATAATCATCTTGCGAAATAAGATTCATGGCGAAATTATAAGAATGTGTATGGGAATATTTACGACTCCTCTTACGAATTAAAAAAATACAGTCCATTTCTCAATAAAAATACCTGACCTTCTACAGTGCATCGCTTGTTATCTGACCGCTTACCATGATGAAGAGGACCCAGGTTAGCGAGTTATCCATTTCTAAGTTTATTACGTACATAAGAGAAGCTTCTCTTATGAAAGTGATAGGATTTTTTTATTCCTAAGAGCGGTCGTAAATATTCCCAGTATTCCCAATATTCCCATACAAACTCTAATAAATTCGCTGACTCTTATTTCGCAAAATGATCATCTCACAGCGGGAGCTTGGGCCGCCTGTGGTCACACGAGACCCTCCAATTACATAATATCAGTTCAATCAGTCGGCACCTAAATGATTATCACTGCGAAAACAACATCTCTGTTTTCAGAGGGGTGGGGTGGAGTTTAGAAGAGGTTGATGTAAATTTTGTTTATTTTATATGTAAACATACAACGTCAATATAATATGTACAGGTGTAGAGTCGGTAGAGCAGTTACTACAGTTGTTATGAAGGAAAGTTACCGTAGGTTCGTTTTCGGGATCTCTTCTCGTCTCACTCATCCCAACCCCTCTCTTCATTCCTATCGGATAACATTGGGAGACAGGGAGAGATCCTGGTGACCAGGTTACGTTGATGATGGCTTCTGTGTGGCTGGGGGGTGGGGGGAGGTCGAATTCTCTTAAAGCGAGTGAGAGAGGGTAAGTGAGGGTATACATAGACTTGTCTTTAGATCGTCATTAAAAAACTAGTTTAGGCCTGTTTAAAAAGTAAAATGTGTTGAAATGAATTATTTGGTTATGCTGTAACAAATTGGCATTGTTTGGTCGTTAATGCCCTGATCAAGGCGAAGCTTCAACATCTTACCGCGGGCAATCAACATGCATTTGACTGTCATCCGTACTTGGAAATAACGAATTTGGATCTTGCCTGGGAGAGGTGGGGAATTGTGAACTGAAATTGTCAAGTTTTTTTGGCTGAATGCACGTGTTTTATCATTAAACGTGGAAGTGTTTAAGGTAAAATGTACACTTTGGCAATCGAGTGGCTCAGAAGAAAAGGTCTGCAAGGTCTGATCTTCCTTTTAGATTAAAGTTTGACCATCAAATCCAGCATTTGGGTGTGGCATTTAAACACAAGCTGCTCGAAAGGATGTTGAAGATTCGAATTGACGCATAAACTGTATTTACACTTAAGTCACTCGTGTATTTGGTGTTTTTGTCACACACTGATGAGGGTTACATATTTTGTTAAATTTATTTGTACGTCTGGGTCAGCAAGATTGTGGAAGTAGAAAGTGGTGTTTTAAAGTTAAACTGCAAAATGACTTGTTACCACAATAACGACCTAACTTCAGGTTCGTTATTTTTAAAGCTTGAACGCTGTGAGCCCTTTCCGACCTCCTTCAAGGAAGGTGCAAATTCGAGTCTCTCTCCTGGAAATAATGTGACTTGCAACTTTGACTTGCATTCGGAATTGTTCGGGACTCGTCGTACTCTAATCTAAAAACATTGGATCAGGTCGGGCTTTCAATTATCGTCAGTCGGCTGTGTTACGGTTTGATTTAAGTTGTAAACATGCAGGCATTGAGCTGAATGGAATTCTGGGACAGAAAAAAGTTTGTCACCAAGCTACCAGGATGTGAACAGCAAACGATCTTAAAATTATTCAAATATATAATGTTATTTAAAATCAGGTAAAAAATTGATTTGTAAATGGATTATCTTTTTCAATTATATGATCATTTATTATTTCACATGTTCTTTTTGACGTATTGAAAGACTTATTTTTTTAAGAAGAAATAAAATATTTATTTTTGGAGATTGTTTGTTGGTATTTAATTGTAATCGACATTCTCTGCCACGAATGAAATAGTCCATTTTACAGTTATGTACTTGGTTGCCAAGCCTTTGAACAGGAATGAGGCTAAGGGTGACCTTGTTATGATACAAACCTTGCTTCTTTTCAAATGCAAATTACTTTGTTATCATGCTAACTAGATACTGGTCTCTATCACAACAAGGTCACCTTCAGCCTCACTCCAAATCAAAGGCTTGGCAACTAAGTTCACAATGAAATTCGTGTTCAATTTACTTCCCAGGGAATTTCAGACTTTTGGACCATGCGAACCTCTAATTCCTTGGGGAAATTTCCCCCGTCCCCCCTTTAAAGAATGTTCACTTGGGGAGCGAACGGAATTTTTTTCCCAAAGAATCTAAATGTAGCGTCTTGATGAAATTGGATTGTACTCTCTTGCTCACATCTAAAGACTGCTTTCTTTGAATGTGTGGAGGATACTTCTACTGGAGAAAGTTTTAACCCAAAGGAAGTGGATGAAACACACTCCCTTTGGAACGTGTTAGTAAGAAACTCCTATGATAGTATATTAAATTCCCTCTTGAAAACGTATAAAGTAGACTGCTATTTGGGACAGAAAAGCTACATGGCTAGGAACGCAGGAAGTACACCACTGTGGTGTGCAGAAAAAAGTGTACCTGCTAGCAGCAAAATTGGCCAGAAGTAAATAAAGAAACCTCTGGACTCTTAGTCCATGTGAGATCGTCGCACCTTGACTTAAAGAGCATGTGGTAAAGCGGGGAGGTACTTCCGACCCGAGTTCGGTTAGCTTGATGAAAGACTGACGCTCGGCCAACAAGCTGTATTTACTATTGCAAAAACCTTTTTCAAACCCAAGATCCTTATATCAACTCTCCTTCTTGTCTCCTAACTATTTCTTTCAACTTTTAGTTATGAGAATTTGGTATTTACATGAAACAGTTTCCCCAAGTTGACCATTTTCTTTCTTCTTGAGTATGTACTGATACTGTATGGAGAAATTTTATTCTGATCACTCCTTGGTCTTGTCACAGGCGTGGTACATGGGAAAAATCCTGAGTCCCTATGAGGAATCCATTTCACACTCCAAAGCCCTACCACTGAACCTCAGACTCTATGGTGAGCAAGGCCCATTGCGACTCGCGCATTCCGCATACTTCTGGGATCAGCAATGTCGATACCGTCATGTTTTGTCGGTAGAATAAGTAAGGCCTAGTTCAAACGTCGATCTTTACATGTACCGAACCTAACGTTTCTATTAAGTACATGTAAAGATCGACGTTTGAATCAATTAGGATCGGCAGATTTGTATAGACGTTTGAATCAACTGCCGCTCTTAATTATTCGAGTCGACCCAAATTGCAATTAGGTTCGGTACATGTAAAGATCGACGTTTGAACTAGGCCTAAGAGGGTGCGGAATCCGAAGGTCTGAGGTTCGATACCTCATGGGTACTCAGAATACTTTCTTTGTCTCACGCTCGTGACGAGACGAAAAGACATAGTTCTTTGTCTTTCTTTTTTTTGCAGGATTAAATGAGTTGAACTCATCTTTTCGTGCTTTATTATCTTCACCTCAGAGTCGGTGGCCTGCACTTTGCAGCTCGGTAAATATCCACCCCTAGCCACCTCCACTTCGGTGAGTATTACTTAAAAAGTGGAAATATGCTTTTCTTTCTTTTCTACAATTCACTACCCTTAAAAATCTCGTCCCAGACTTTGCATTTTGTATGGGTACGCAACGACTAAACTGGCCGAGTGCGAACGGACGTGTATGTAATTGTGTACGAATCGACTAAGTACGAAACATCCGCTGGTACGAAACGACTTACAAGCAAATACGAGGACCTGGGGATTCATCTTTCAACTTTCACCTACCCTCTCCTGAACAGTTACACTTGAAGATAAACCAAAAAATAAGCTTTAATAAATTATTTCCTGCACTATACAGCTCGTCAAATACAGTCCACAATTTTCAATACTGTTTGTCCTTTTTACCAACTGAAAAGATGCCATGTTGAAGGCAATGCTATAGGCATTTAACCAGTAACTCCCAAGATCTGATCGTTAATTCTGGTTGTAATTGGTTATAAGAATTTGGTGTTAGATTGAAACATCAACCTGATAAGTTTGAGTATTCTCATTACCAGTTTGCTGGAAAATGTATGGATATTACAAGGAATAATTACATGTTAATCACTTCTGGGAGTTAAAGGGTTAAAACCCCACGCCTCGCTTGTTTCAGTAAATTCCAATTATTGGATGAGGCTACCATGACAGCAAGATTTATCAAAGCTAAGGCTCATGTCATCTGGCATGGCTGAATTGGGGCCTTCAACATTCCTGCTATCATGCATGCATCAACTCCATTGACTGTCTCATACTTGTTTAAAACTATAACCTGTCTATGATGATACTTATACATGTATAAAAATATATTCCGTCAGTATGATGTCACTTTTACATGACTATAAAAACTACTGTCAGCAGAAATGCAAGAACAGAAACAACTGTGGCTAGAATTTAGCTGCATGGTTCTAGCCAATCAGAATTGAGATGGTGACACCATTATCTGTACACAAGAACATTTAGCACCAATAATTTATAAATTTGGAATAATGGGTGTCATTCCTTAAAGATTACATCATAAAATATATAACATACTGTACCTTGGTATACCTTTACAGCAATTGACAAGGCTAGTAATATTCAAAGCAACTGACAAAGCTAAATGTATTGCCTAAAAAGGCATTTCTACAATAAAAGTAACAAAATGGCAACAAAATTGTTGTTTCCAGTCTTCAAACCAGTCAGAGCCTCAGAAAAACTATTCTAATGTTAATCCTTGGACAGTTTGCCTGAAAACAGAGGGTAGCTAGTGCTATCTTGAAGTTTAGTTGTTAAGTAGGCCCCTGATTTCACAGGTAGCTGTATGTGTCATGGTTGGATTTCACCTTGGTTAGCCAATGCAACTGCATTTCACTGACCATCTAGGAACATATCTCTTCAAATATAACATTTCTGACAACCTTTTACATTGAAACATGCCTGTAATTTGCATAATTTCTAATAAAATATTATTAATAGTTCCTAAAACTAAATAAAGTCTTTTGCATTTACAACACTGCAGGATTAATTTGTTCGATCAGCATTCAGGCCACTATTGCACTAATGCTGCGACATTGCAGATCATTAATGCAGTGCTTGTGATGTTGTCTCATCTTGAACCATCGCCATTTACAACTGCCAGTGATTTATCTGTAAAGTAATTGAAACATTATTATTTTTAATATTATTTATTTTGAATCAAATAATATTAATATTAATGGACACTCCAAACACTCACTCTCCCTAGCAATCAATCCAGGGTTCTCATTCAGAGCTGACCTCAATTTCTAAACACACTAATTTTCTTAACATAAAGAGTGTTAGTTGTGAGGATTAAACTCAAATAAAAGTTAGTCACTGCTACAAAAAGTTTCATGAACAGACAGCTTTCTCTAAAGCCTTTTTCACATTCCACATAACAAATGCTTTTACCATTTCTAACTGGTTGAGCATGCCACTCTTCCAATCTCTACATATGTGTCCAACTAGCCAATCAGTTGCCATATTGCTTTGAATATACCTTCCAAAAATGTGTATAATTACATCTCAGAGCCTCTAATTTTCAAAAATAATATTATAATAATAGGAGACCCCTGGAAGGAGCTCTCAAACTGTCAGCCATCTATTCCACACCAACAGCCATCTACTCCCTGACTTATTGAGAAGCCTGTAATTCAATTGAGAATTTGATCACCAAAATTTGGTGTTAGATCAAGTTAACAACTTCTACTTGATAAGTTTGAGCTCTTAGTACCTGTTTGCCAGATGATTTATGAATATTATGGGGAGATCACTTCTGGCATCAATTTTCTTTAATACTCACCATCAGTGACTCCATTTTGCTGCTGCATTTTTTTAAGCTTTTTTCTCTTTTTATTTTGGTCTGAACTGTATGACCGTCTACTCTTCCGTATAGGACTTCGCTGAAAAAGTTCCTCTGTATTTAGCCAGGGGTGATTTAAACATTCTTGAACTGAGAGCCTTTCACTGTAGAGTAAACAAGACCGCAGGTTAAATTCAATTTGCTAACAAACTCTGATTCAGTGTCAAGTGCTGCTATGAAACAGGGTTATGTGTACATGTATTTTGTTGTACAGCCTTTAACCCCCATATACCCTAAGAGTGACTGATGGCCAACTTCTCCTTACAGTTTCACCACTGAATCAAACACATTAAGATCATGAGAATAAAGGAAATGATTGCCAACCATTGAAGCTCTTGATTGTTAAACAAATTCACATGGTTAGTAATGTTAGAAATGTATAGAGAACAGTAAGGAGAATATGTATTTTGACGTTTGGGCATGAAGGGTTAATACTACTCTCAGAGCTAACATTCTGGTTTCCTCAACATGGAGCTACTAGGAGTATTTCCACTCCCCCTTGATAGACAATAGTCCACTGCACACAAACCTGACCAACTGTCAAGTTTCCTGACTGTTTGCTGGTACCCATTAAACTCCTGGGAGGATTTTCTTGTCTTAACAGTCATGAGAAATGACCCATCTTTAAACCTGCCAATTTCTCCTTGGGTCAAATGAGTGAGATTTTTTTTTCTTGATGATTTCTGAAGATTTTCAGGAAAAACCTGATGGTGTTTCTATGCCAGTGCCTCCTTTACAGCATTCTCTTTACTAAAATCAAATGTTCAGGGTCTTAAAGCACAACAATCTACAAAGACTTTTCCAGCCAAAGGGGCCATCCAGCCTGACTTTTTCATCAGTACTTCATCAGGCTTCCCTGACATATTGCTGGTACCCTGTTATACTCCTTGCTACAGGGAGGTGCTACACAAGAACACAACACAATGACACAGCACAACACAATGACACAGC